GCAAGGTCAATGCCAGCCAAACGTCAAACTGTGTTGACGGTCCCTTTCGGAATCATTCATGGCCACATGGAAAAATGAAAATGGGTGAAAAAATTGAAAGAAGCCGCAGGCAAAAGAGCTGGATCTGCCATGGAAGTTTCACGTGCTTGGGTCCGTAAGCATGTCCAAAAATTCAGTCACTGAGGTTCGAGGCAGCTGCATGTCCTGTCGGTAAAATGGCAGGCGAATGGAATCTGATCTCGCCAGCCAAACCAACGTCACATTCTCAAGCAACCAATCTTGGAGGGTCCAGACCGCCTCCGGTGCACGCCAGTCATCTGTGACCAGCCATTGAATGGGATTTGTGTGATTTTGGACCATGGGACGAAGACGCAAAGCAGCCCTGTAATGCCCGGAGCCATCATGTCCCAGATGAGCCATTGCCGCAATGACAGTGTAGGCATGAAAATCACTCTGAATCGTCCCATCTGCAAAGACCGGAAAGAAACACTCTTCATCAAGCTGAATCCTGCTCAGGCACTTGTGAACTGTCATATCTGGGCCCATCACGCATCTGTCCACGTGAGCGCAGATACAGGTGGTCGGATGGAGCAGAGCCGTGTGCATCCCATCCACCTGCTGCCAGGTGCCGATCAGTGAATTCATGGAGCAATGTGGCAAGAGAATCTGGGTTTCATCAAACTTCAAGCAAATCGGAGCATATGGTTCATGGCTAGAATCAAGCGTATGAGTATATTCTGTCACTGTCATCCGCTTTTCCCACTGCATTTGGAAGGCAGAAGACTGTAGCTCATTCAGCCAAACTTGAACAAACTCCGAAGAGTCCTGTTGAGAAATTGAAGAGGACATCTGTCCAAGCGTATCTCGTCCCCAGCAACGCGTGAGATCTTGGAAGAAAACTTGGGTGGCAAGAGAACTGAGTTGTGTTTTGGCAGTGCCCAAAAACCGCATGATCTCATGGCATTGTCTACCCCAAAGCTCAGGTGTGTAGCAGCTCAGATTCAGGACCGTCCAAAACAAGGAGTACGCCGCAGCATTGCAGAAGCACCAATTGTTCGGGTTGGTAAGGACCATATGGGACACAATGTGTGTCAACTCACCAGGCTGCATGTGAAGGTCACCAGTCAAGGCGCTGGTTTGGCCTGGTTGGCCTTGTGACCCTTCCCTTTCTGCTTCCCTTTCCCCTGTCCCTTGGGGCGGAGTCCCAGATTCTGCTCGATGGTGGCCGCCAGGGAACTCTGGTACAGGTTGTGCTGCTTGAGACTGGTGGCCAAGAGCGTCCAGACCTGGGAGTACGCAAGATGGAGCATGAGTTCGTAGGTCCTGGCCTCCCGGGATGACATCTGAAGTCTCCATGGTGTCACTGCTGAGTCCGGTTTTGCCGGCAGTGAGTGGAACTTCTGAATCAAGGTTGGATCCTTGAAGCCGTCCTGGAGTTCCAGACAGTGCTCGCTCATTTTGGCCAGACTGACGGGCGTCTTCTGTGAGACCTGGAGCTTCTGTTCCTGCGGGTTCCATTCCATGAATGGTATGGTCTTGTTCTCCAAGAGAATCCTGGAGCTCTTGGCCGCCTCCATCAGTGGGGAATCCTCCGGGGCCTCCAGAAGCTTGTGGACCCGAGTCGTCAGCGCTGTGAGCAGGGTCTGGAGCAAAACCTGGCGCAGGGGTCTCTTCCACGTCGATGCATTCTCCGTGGATGCTTGATGCCAGGTCTCCGCCTCTTGCAGCATCAGTGGGAGAACGCCCTTTGGATCCTTGCAGCTGAAGTAGAAGATGAATGTTGTCTCTCGATGGATCACCTGCAAGTCTCGGTCCACCCGAAGCAGCAGCTTGGCCATCAGGATCAGCAGTTTTTGTTGGTCGAGATGGGCGTCTTGCCCGTGCCCCTGCTGAGAGCTTTCTTCTTTTGGCTTTATGGCCCCGTCCTGTCTGCGTTGTCGTTTGGGCGCCGCTGGGTTGGGAGAAAGCTTCAGCCCTGTGTCCAGCATCGGCGCCAGGTTTTGGAAGGTCTGCAGCATCTGGCTCAAGGCTCCCTCTTGGCCCATCTGCCAATCTTGGAGTTCCATGATGAACGTGTGTGAGCAATAACGCAAGTTGCAAAATGCTCGGACACTGAGCTCGCAAGTGAGCTTGAACCAGCTGCTGTCTGGATGGGCAGGTTTGGGACGCAGGCTCAACAGCCGGTGTATTGAAATCTGGCCACATGCAAAACAGGCACAATCATTGTCACTGTGATCCATGGCATGTTGAAGCAGTTGTGCAACATATGTCTTTACAACCGGATGCATTCCCTGGTGTGCCTCATGCAAATGATAGAAAAGATCCATCGCCAGCAGGTCAATGCCACAAAAGAAGCAAGTGCTGCTGCAGGCATCCAAAAGCAAGGCATCTGTCCAGAGCGTCCCAAGGTCGTACCGCAAGAGAGCCTGTTCCACTGTGCAGCGCAAATCAGCAGGAATGTGCTGTGGGAGAGCCCTGGCTAGTTCGGTCATGGTCAGCTTGGCCGGCATGAAGATGGCCATGGGAAGCCGGTGGAATTGCATTGCCAGTTGCCAAAATGGCAGGCATATATGTTGCAGTCGAACCACATTGCAAGACGGGTTGCAAATGCAGCCCAAGGTCTTGTAGTACCTCTGGACCATGTAGTGCACCAACGGTTTGGCCTCATTCCAAAGGCTGGAGTGAGAACTTTGCAAGTGGGCCGACAGGTCCGCAGATCGAGTGCATCGTTTGGGACAGCATTGGCAATGCAGTGTCAATCTCATCCTGTTGCGGGAGTCCGACAAAATTGACTCAAACTGTCCATTGCAGCAAGCTGATTTCCATGTGCTCAAGACTGCTGAAGGCATTGTAGAGGCATCTGGGTCATATTGCAAGCAGCGCCCCTGGTTGATGTGGCTACGAAGGCCTTCCATCGTCTGGAAAAGCATGTGGCAGTGACTGCACACCGGTTCACCCTGAAAGCTATCACGGCTCTCATGCCAAACTGAGCTCACCAGCTTGTGTTCCTGTTGCAAGTGGCGGTGCATCTCCTGAGTCGTGGCACATTGCTGGCCACAGATTTCACATTGCAGTCCATCAGGAGGTGATTCCACAGCACCATGCGTGGGCTTAGGGCCATGCACTATCAACAAGGCTACCTGAAACCAGACATTGCAAGAGTGTGACGAAATGAAAGTCACTCCGCAGGCAGAGCATGGTGTTTCATCGCTATGCAAGTTGGTCAACTGGGTTGCCTTCGTCTGCACCAGGGAGCTATATGCATTGTGCATCATTCTCACATGTTGATGCATTGCCTGAGCCCTACCAACGTACTGACCGCAAAGCAGGCAGTGTCTGGACAGGTATGAGCAACCAGCCCGTTCACGCAGCAGGTCAGGCCAGCGACGCTGGTGAATCAGGGTCAGCAAACGGGGTCCAAACTCATGGCGGTGAATCGCATCCATCTCATGCTTGGTCAACTTCAAAGTTGATCCTGCAGGCTGGGTATCAGCAGTCCGAGTGGCAGGCTGGCTCATCGACTGCTCAGGAAATGGTGCCACAGGTCGGGCAGTGCGCAAAGCCACAGTGTCAGCCTGGCATCCCCGTTGCACATGAATATGAAAGGATCTCCATGTTGTGAATGCAGCATGACACAGGGTGCATTGTGGCAAACCATGATGCATATAATGGGAAGGATCTGGTACATGTTGGCGATATCGAGTGATGCCATGTTCAACTGTCAAGTGGCGTCGCAAAACAGGCAAATGAACAGAGGAAAACTCACAATGAGGGCATCGATGCTCAAATGGCCAAACGGCCTCGTCTCCTGGCATCACAGGTCCGTGGACTACCAAACCTAGGTCAAGTTCATGCTGGATCAAATCCTTCATGCTTTGCAAGGGTGTCCAATCCAGTTGAGTGCTCAGATCATCTGCATGCCGATACAAGGGGGGCTTGGTAACAGACCGATGCAGAGAGTCAGCAGCTCTCCATAGCAACCGCAGCGGGGATTCAAGGTTATGAAATGTCAGTGCATCTGCATGTGTCCTACCTGTGGTAAAAGCATGATCATGATGAACTTGTCGCAGCATCGAAAACATGGTCTGCTGCAGCAGCTGCAAACAGGTTTTGGTGAGGCCGACAGTGAAAATGCCATATGTCAAAATTGGAAGTACACATGTTGTCCACAATCGCATGCGTGCATCTGCAGCAAGACCCCGTCTGGCGGTGAGCCAGCGCTTCAGGCGGTTGAAGGCAAGTTTTGCAAGGCTCAATCTGTGTCTGGTGGTGGCAAGTTCAAACTGCTGATAGCTAATCAGGGTGCCAAGATATTTGGTTTGCTTGACAACCGGAAGCACAAACTCCTGCACGCATCCTCTGATTTTGATCCATTCTCCTTCATGATCGCGAGAGGTCAGTGCCGAACGGACATGGCGGTAGCTGGTGCCACCCATGGTGAGGAGAATTGCTGATTTGGAAGTGTTGATGGTCAATCCTTTGTTTTGCAATGTTTCCATGATCAGGCCAAATAGGAGAGAATGCGTTGCAGTTCATCACTGGAGTAAAAGAGGCAACAAGCATGTATGTCGTCTGCATAGACATTCATGTGATCCCGCAACCACCGCCAGTCTATCAAATGTGCAAGGTCTCTGAGGTACAAGAGAACAAAGGCATTAAATAGCCAGGGTGCGCCCTTACATCCCTGGCGTACGCCAGCCCCTACTTCAATTGGTGTGGTGCTGCCATTGACTTCAACATGATATGAAGTGTATTCATGCCATCTGGCCAGCATGTGCACCACCCTCGGGTTGTCAAGGACTTCATGCAGCCTCCCAAACAATTCAGCACGACTTACACTGTCAAAGGCCTTGCTAAGGTCTAAGAAGAGCTGAATGGCTCCACATACTTGGTACATGGGGAGCTGCTGATGTCTGTGAAAAACCGTCGGTTTTTGGGAGGCAACAAGGGAGCGTCCAGCCTTGCAATGTGCAGCAACCCGAAGCAATGCATGTTGAGTGCTACGAGTTGGCAAATATGCCCATAAAGGCCAAACCAGCAGCTGAGCCAATGAGTCCTTTTGGGCAAGTCTGGCAAGCAGTCCCATCACAGCCTTACCTATAGGTTCCTGGAGCGCCAAGGGCCTCAAGGAGCCCGGATGACTTGGTTTCTTCAATGGTTTCGGGATGAGCAAAAGCCAGGCGTCTCTCCAGCAAGCTGGGACTACTGGCTCAGCTTGCGTCCAGAGCTGTTGCAAAATTCTGTACAAATGTCCCGCTAAAAGGTGCGAGTGAGCATGCCAAATCAGACCAGGGCTGAAAGGCTTGGCAACAGCCTTGGAGATGGGTATCTCGCGCAGCGCCCGGCTGAGCTCCTCTAAGGTGAACGGAAGTCCTGTCATGTCACAAGGCACTTTGGGGACAGTTGGAGATCCCTTCCAGGTACAGCGCACAAATTCATGCATGATTGCCTGTTCTTCTACAGGGGATGCAAGGTTCCCATGCATGTTTCTGATTTGCAATCTACACTTGGGCAATTTCGGAGCAAAGCGATTGATGACTTGAAACAGTTGATAGCTATCGTGCTGTCGAGCAGCAAGTTGGGCTTGATCAAGAATCAAATCAAATTTTTGCTTGCGTACCAAAAAAGCATGTTTCTTGTGGGTTCTCCGGAGTGCATGAAATCTTGCAATATGAAACCACGCTCTGAACACATTTCTCGGGGATGGCAATTGCAGTTCCCTGCGTTGATCCCTGTGCCTCCATTTGTCCATAATGACCGATCTGGTAGCATCCACAGGGGTGTCAGCAGTCTGTCGAGGCAAGGATGGAAAGGAAGCATTGAAAACATTCCCTGCAATCTGATGCAATTCAGAAAAAAGGTTGGGATCCCTTGGATCAGCCTGGGCAAGATAGGCATCAATACGCTCAGCTGAGGCCGTCATGAACTCGTGCCACTCTTTGGTTTGTGCAGCATGGGCCAGTCTGCCAGCAGCCCGTTGTTGTGCAGAGATGCCTGATGTGGTGTCCGTCGCTTGTGGTGGAATCCAATGCCTTCTCAACTGTCCCACCATGGGAAAATGTCCAAAGTGATCAACCGCAAGAAAAGGGGTCTGGTGCAAAAGTTTGACATCTTTAGCCAACCCATCCGCCAGGGGCAATCGTGTAAAGGAGAAATCAATCCGTGAGCAACCATTATATCCCCTAAAGGTGGGGCCCTGAGCATGTGACCATGAGTTCAACGCAACCAATTGATGTGCTTTCACAAGGGCCAGAAAATCACCTGAATCAGGGTGAGAGGGACCCTGATGATGAGTCCGATGCCATAGGAAGCCATCACATCCCACGTGGCCATGAGCCGCAGGAAGGCTGCAATTGAAATCTCCTGCCAAAAGAAGGACATTCCTCTTGGGGAGCGTGCTAAGATATCTATCTAAACATGTCCACCAGGTCTGGCGTTCATGGAGCCTGGATCTACTGGCCATGAAGGTATGCTGATAACACGCAACCAAGTCAAAGCATCTCTGGGAAAAACGAAGCTGGGCATGAACAATCCTACCTGGTGCAACCTCTGTCCATCTGAAGGAGGTGGGTTTGCAAACATGTGACGCAATCATGAGTAGGATACCAGCTCCTGTCTGTGTCGGATGCCCAGAATGCACATGCATCCAATGAGGATCACTCCACTCGTTGGAAAATTGCCATCTGGTCTCCGGGATAATCAAAATGTCAATGCATTGACCTCGACACCAGAGTTTCAGTTCGTCCAGGCGATGTTGGCTCAGGCCACCTCCGTTCCAACACAAATAGCGCAGGTAGCGCTTATTCTGATGTCGGGCGTTGCATTTGGATTGATCAGAGACCGCAGGAGTGGGTCTCGGCTTTACATGGGCATGATCAGCAGCAGTTGCTGCAGGCACAGCAGTCGTTTTGAAGTCACCAGCCGTGTAGCATTTGCCTCTGTACCAGCAGGTGCCATCGCGCTGGGCACGTTTGATGGCTCTTTTTAGGCTTCTTTTCTTCACCGCATCCATGGACGGCCGTAGGTAGCCGTAGCTGCTTGTTGGCTGAGTTCCACGTGTCTTTGCACCAAACTGGTGAATAAGAGCCTCTTCCCATGTGAGAGGTGCTCCAGCGGTTTCCGTGGTTAAACCGCAACCCTCACCCCCACTCCAGACGTGTGCAGGCATGTTCAAGCAAGATATCCAAACCAAAAGGCAAAATTGGAAAATCTTAAAGGCTCTGGAGTGCCCGGACTTGGGACCGGGAATGCAGTCAGCTTTCAGCACAGAAGCGGACTCACTAGCCAGGAAGAATCTTGGTGTGATCGTTCCCCCAACAACACAGAGAGCAAAAGATGTTCTGAATTGTGAAATTGCAAATGTACAAATCAAAAGTAAACTGCTCACTGGGCACCAATACGTATGAATGGATCTGATGGCAGTGAGAAGACCAAAATGCCAAGCTCCGTTTTGTGCAACAACACTTTTTCTGTCAGCAACAGGCAAGGTGGATTCGGCCAGAATGCGCGCAAAAAGTCCACCCGTCCACCAGTCAGCCAAAATGTAAATAATGAAAACGGTGTAAACCAAGGGGACCCCACCGCAGAAAGTCAGAAATGAAGCTGTTTGTTGAAGAAAAATCCAAAGGCCGATCTCTGGTGATGGCCACACTCCGGTGTGCACAGGTAGGACCCCACCGCAGAAGGTCTGTTCGCTGTCACTAGCCCTGGTCCAAAGCCAACTCTGTGTCCTGTGCCCAACAAGTGTGGTGAGCAATGTATGTGGCTGCGTCGTCAACAGAACCCCACTGCAGAAGGTCAGTAAAAAATCAGTGTGCTGCACTTGCTTAAAAACCTCGTCTCTGTGCTGGCAAGCCCCACCGCAGAAGGCCAAATTGTCGGTGTTGTAAGCAAGAGCCCCACCGCAGAAGGCCAGAATTCTCTCGGTGTGAGTCCAATATAGTTGAAATCCCAAAAAGCCAGAGCAACTGAAAAAAGGCCCACCTCTGAGAAAATCGTCAATGGGCAAGATCAGCGCTTCGGTGTGTGTATTGAAAACCCCACCGCAGAAGGTCAGTGTGCTGCCTCCAACCCAGGTCTGTAGGCTGCGCTGCACCAGGTGGCTAAGACAGGTCTTGGCCAATTGATTGTGTAGCGTCGTCAACAAAACCCCACTGCAGAAGGTCAGTAAACAATCAGTGTGCTGCACTTGCTTGTGAGCGTCTTGTCTGTACCAGCTAGCCCCACCGCAGAAGGCCAAAACTCCGGTGTGAATTGTAGAAGCCCCACCGCAGAAGGCCAGTGCTGTCTCGGTGTATGTTGTGAAAGAGGAGCAACTGGCTGGAGAAGAATCCAATTGTACCAATGAACAAAAATCACAAGCAAAAGGTGCTATCGTTTGCTGTAGCCAATGACCGCATGATCCAACAAAGCTCGAATGGGTGTCAAAAAGCTTTGGAGACAAATATGCACCAGCCAAAACAGGACTGACGTGAATATCACTGCAAGTCTGACTGTATGCGTTGTCCAGGATCCTGGGGATCAGTAGTAACGTTGAAAATGAGAAATGAAACCTCTGTCCAAGCGCAAAATCAACCACCAAGGCTCGACCACACCCAGGTGTGGAGGGCCGTTCAAACCAATCTGCTCTCGCGTGTGTTGTTCGAAAATCAGTTGTGACCCCACCGCAGAAAGTCAAATTAAAAACGGTGTCTGTTGAATCAGAATGTTGTTCAGTCCAGAAAGGGGGCAAATGTAGTCCAAATGGAAAAACAGCAGCCAGAAAAAATATCACCAGATGCCACCGCCAATCCTGATAAGGCGCCGTGATGCCCAAGGAGAGCAATCGCAAGCGCTATGGCGTCCGCCCCAATGAAGAAAGAACAAGCGAGGGGAAACAGAGATTCCGCTGGATGAATCCTCTTGCGCGCGGTACTCGTGACCGCATAGGGGCTTGTGTGTGTGTGAGAAACCCTGAATCAAAGGGAAAAGCAGGGGGCCCGTGGACGCATAGATGGCACGGGCCAACGAAGACCCATCTATGTCGTCGTGAAAACGTACCTGCATCCGAAATGGCAAGGTGGCCAAGCCAAAAACCACCCATGCCGACATGCCATGACATGACATGACATGACATGCTAATGTAACAACACGACATGACGGTTATCATTTCATCTCATTTCACCCTCTCCATTATGGAGTTTACCAAAGTGTGTCTTTCATGCACCCGGATCTCTGACAAAGTGCCGGGGAAGCTTGGTGGTGCGTCCGCCGGGGATACCAGGTTACAAGAATAAATCCAGACATAATGTTGCCAGAAGCCAGTTCCGCACAAGCATCCAGAGTCCGCACAAGCATCCAGAAGACTCCATCAGGGGATTGAATGCTTTTCAGAATAAATCCAGAGTCCACGCCAGAATAAATCCAGAGTCCACGTCAGAATAAATCCAGAGTGAAATTTTCATCCCTCAGAATAACCCCGTGTCATCCCATGTGGTTCTACTTGTTTAACTAACACGACCGTCATTTCACTCTTAACCTTGACCTCTACACATGAACTAGTAGTATGATTGCAACACGGATACCATGCATGACTGCTCGCGGCTTTTTATAGACATGACTCGTTAGTCTCGCTGAGACCAGTTTATGGTTTTCGCGTAGTTTACATGGTGCAACATGAAAACCCTGAACATGAATCATCACGTAGTTCACATGGCGCAACATGAAAGCCATGAACATAAATCATCATGCCATGTTGACTAATAACATGAGTTAGATAACTTTCGGTTTGACATCATGGCCACATTGAAGATTGACATGTGCAGCGCTTGCAGCTTCGTGATTCCGACCATGCAGCCCGCGATGACGGCAGCTGATTTGTTTGCCCAGTGGATGAGTTCAGCATCACACAACACACAAGCATCAGCACCTTTTCTATCAACATTCTCTCAAACTCCACAACAACATTATCCAGCCGGACACACCTTACCACAATCAATGCAACCACAGTGTACCACAGCAGCTTTCACACAGCCTTTTGCTCCAACTCCACAACAACAACAACAACACAACAACTTCTGGGACACACCGTCCCACAGCCAACACAAGCACCATTTGCCAACTCTGCGTTTACACAACCTCCATCTTGTCACACTTTCAACACACCACATCACAGCACAGCCATGCCAGGTCTTCAGCCACCACCACATTACAACGCAGCCATACCCAATCCTCAGCTCTCACCATCACAATATGGATCATTCCTCACTTACCAGCCTACACCACACTCAACAAGCACGACACTAGTACAACCACTACCAGCCACACCAGTTTCACAGCAATCTCCAATCACTACAGTTTCAACTCCACCACGGAGTCACAACAAGCACAGCCGTACGCGATCTCTCACCACATGCAAGAAGCACAGATCCACTACCAGGCGACACAGCCGACGCAAATCTACGAAACGACATCACTCACGACACCACAAATCACAACACCAATCACAACGTCGACGCCAGCATCGTTCACATCGCAGGCAACATCCCTCAAACACTGACAGATCCAAATCCAACCATCGATCACACACCGGACACAAACCAGCAGCATCTTCTCAGCAACACACGTCACCACATCACCACACTTCACCACTACCACCACCACCAACAACACAACTACCATCTCTTTCCACCACCACCGTTACCATCAGAACACACAGGTAAACACCTGTTCTCCACTTCTCCCACTCCTCATCAACAACCACCTCCGCCGCCTCCTTTGCTTCCTCCCAAAGTACCACCACCGACTAGCCTGGCTGACCAAATCAGGTCCATCGCCAAGTCCAAGAACATTTACAACACCACAACATCAAAGACTGTCACAGCGGGACAAGCCCACCTCACACCTCGCCAGCAACACACACCACCAACACCACTTGACACCACCAACACTACAAACGAACCACAGCCAACACAAGCAATTGATCACCTTCAAGAAGCCATCGAACGACAAATACAACAGGATCCGTCAGTCCTCATTCCGTGGGAACCTCCCACGCGTGACAGCTACCAGATATTCAAGTACCAAGAGTTAGAGCAACGCCTTCACTCAGCAACACTCCAAGCCCGTGAGCTCACAGCACCGTCAGTATACTTCCGATTCTTATCAGATCGGGACAAAAGTGTACGTGACATGACAGCTTGGTTGGAAACACGATTTCCAGCAGGCATCGACCTACCACAAGAAGACATCACCACAACGTTAGCAAAGTACATCGTCACAACCGGCATGCCTATCAACAACACACTTACCCACATCACATTTCACCAGCACCAACAATTCAGAATGTGGCAACTACACTTACAAAACATGCCACGCAACACCACAACATCACTATCACAAGCAGGCAACGCCTACTACCACTGGGCACATGCCACAAACGAATCTGGATGGGCCGAACAAGAAGAAGTGGACACTCACGGCATAGTCCACAGACCACGGGATCGCCGCTGGTGCATTCACTCAACACTGGCACACATCTCCAGCATTTGGATCCTTAAGCCTGATCCAAACTTCTCCACACCAGTACAGCACATGCTTGAGCATGAAGATGAGTTTGGCGAGCCGCAGCTGCTGCCGACAGACGTGCAAATAAGAGGCTGCTGATACGCCAGTTTCACCTCCGTTTATATTACAATATGATATGCCATTTTTATCGAATTTATTAATTTTCAAGAATCTCCACCTTCCTATAAATATAATGTGTCCTTGTGATATAAATAATATCCCTTGTGAAATCTTCCTGGTCACACGTGGCATACAACATATCAGCGGAACCAACAAAAAGAGCCGATGTACAGTGTACTTCCACCAAGCCGTTTGGAACTGTTTTGAAGAGTCTTGCCAACATGTCGTCACCCATTGTAATTCTAAACGTCACATGTGTTAACATTGTTGATGTTATCAAATCCTAATTGCCTAATTTCATCCATTGTTCCAATTTTGTTTCGGATGTTGTCTCTGATAGCAATCTCTGTTTCGGACTTTGTTTCTGATAGCAATCTCCGTGCTCAAAAGTAAATATTATCGCAATCATCAAGACACCTTCACGTTTTTTCGTTGTTTGAGTGCAACCATGACCTCGTGGCGCGGCAGCATGAGACCGTATGATTCTTGGCATTCGAAACAATACCAAGTCAACACACCACCAAGAGCATTTCAAGCACACACACAACACCAGCATTGGAACGAACCACCGAGCCCACAAGGCACAAAGCGGTACGACCGCAACTTACCGAGCAGTTTCCAGCCAGACAATGAACACTTTGACACCAAACACCAGTATGGCTTGACGTTTCCACGCCAAATCACATCCACAGCTTGGAGCCAAAGGTACCAACTTGCAGGCCGACCCATCGAAAGTATCCACCTACGTCAATTGGCATACATGGGATGGTCCAATTGGATGGACATGGGCATCAAAGCAAGCGGTGCGGAAAACACTACTACCTCAGCACACACCACCACTCCTCGCAGTGTAAGTGATGCTCCTCGACAAACCACAATCACCGACCTACAGGATAGCATCCAAAATCTACCAGGCACAAACACCACACGTCCTTTCACCACAGCCGCACCGCACACACTCGTAACCAAAACAGTGGACGCTTGGATTAAAAAACAACCAGTTCCAAAACAACACCAAGCAGCCCTTCAGGAGGCATTGAGCACATTGCATCAACTTATGAAGAACATCCCAAAAGCCGAGCAAAGCACGTTTGCAGACAAAGCAGCATCGCTTGGTTTGCCGGTGGCGCTGGCGGCAAAGGCGCGCAATGAGGAGCTCTACAAGCTGCCGCTGTTTGCGGTCACTCAACTAGAGTGACTAGACCGCGGCGATCCGGATCATGTACAGTTTTCGGCGGCATGCGTTGCGTTTTTCGGATTCTTACAACATTTTCCACCTGACGATTTCTATGACACTGTTGCTTATCGAACATTCCTACGTGTTGCAGTTGGTTTTTGTTTTCTTCATTGGTGTACCAATCAGGTTCATCAACAATCATGTCGAAAATGGAATCGGAGATTTGACAGAACATGTTTAAAGTCTGTTCGCACTTTTGTACAGTTGCAACAAATGTTCTGTCAATCCAACACTGTATATATACTTCTTCATGCAGTTGTCATATCGGGACTCAACATTCGTCTTTCCAGCACAGAACACTACATCGGCAGTACCATACACACGCTACACGACCGTCAGAACACCAGACAACGCAAGCTCAGACAATTAAAACGAGCACAACCTGTGTCATGCAAGTTGGCACTCCATTGGTTTGCAGCCAAAACAACTATCATCAATTTGTCGCATTGCCGTTGTTACCCACCAATACAACATTACAAACACGAACGCTGGAAAGCTACATCATCCAAAAGTGGTGTCCACCACTCAACTACCCGTTTATCTTACAACGACAAGTCACAAAACAACACTCAACACCACACTTACGACAAGCACTACGCACCACTTATTTGGGAATCGGACACCGGCTCTACGCTCAGCTTCGACGACGACTTATGTGCAACACACAAGCATCACAGAACACACAAGCATCAGCACCTTTCTACCAACATTCTCTCAGACTCCACAACAACATGATCCAGCCGGACACACTATACCACACTCAATGCAACCACAGTGTGCCACTGCAGTTTTCAGACAGCCTTTTGCTCCAACTCCACAACAACAACCACAACTTATGGGACACACCGTCCCACAGCCAACACAAGCACCATTTGCCAACTCTGCGTTTACACAACCTCTATGCTTTCAACACACAACATCACAGCACAGCCATGCCATGTCTTCAGCCACCACCACATTACAATGCAGCCATACCCAATCTTCAGCTCTCACCACCACAATATGGATCATTCGTCACTTACCAGTCTACACCACAGTCAACAAGCACAACACTAGTACAACCAGTACCAGCCACGCCATTTTCACAGCAATTTCCAACCACTACAGCTTCAACTCCACCACTGAGTCACAACAAGCACAGCCGTACACGATCTCGCACCACACGCAAGAAGCACAGATCCACCACCAGGCGACGCAGACGACACAGATCTACAAACCGACATTGCTTCTTCGGCATACTTGCTGATTGGTTCTTTGGTCAAGCAGGAGACTTGATTTTATACCTAATATATTCACTTCAAACCACCAGTCTTATCCGTTCAGTTTCAACTCCAAAAAAGTTTGGTTTGTTTGTAATTTGGTTTTCGACATATGGGACACAAGACCAACAGCGCTGAGGGGTCATTTTCTTCGCATTCAGTCCAAAACAACCACACCGAGGGAAGTTGTTCTTGGAAAAATCGTGTCCAGCGGCTTGATATACGTCTAAGTGGAAACCTTGGATCTAAGAGAACAAGCAGCGGAATGGAAACATCGTGCCCTAGTGGCTTGCTGTGTGTGAGAAACCCTGAATCAAAGGGAAAAGCAGGGGGCCCGTGGACGCATAGATGGCACGGGCCAACGAAGACCCATCTATGTCGTCGTGAAAACGTACCTGCATCCGAAATGGCAAGGTGGCCAAGCCAAAAACCACCCATGCCGACATGCCATGACATGACATGACATGACATGCTAATGTAACAACACGACATGACGGTTATCATTTCATCTCATTTCACCCTCTCCATTATGGAGTTTACCAAAGTGTGTGACTGTCTGAATGGCCTGGTTTAATGCAGTCAATCTCAAGTCAAGTTTACAATCCAGAAACAATATAGTAGAGTTTCTCGTGTCCGGTCCAGCAGTAGATTTGAAACTTGGAAGAGAAGCCATGACTGCCGAGGCGTCCCATGAGCTTCTGGCCACTAGGCTTCCGAAGACCACATGCCCGCTACCAGTGCCGCAGGCCAGTTGTGTGCCGTCCTTACAAGGACGGAAGAGATATCAAAGGTTGGGTTCGGGCCTGAAAGAGTATCTGTTGTTTCGATGGAATATGATGAAATCTGAATATGTTGACAAGCGCTGCGATTTTTTTCGAGAGAAACGAAGCTGAACAGTTGCTCTTCATCGTTGCTGCTGGGTCGTCACACGTTGCACCACGAGATCGAAAAGATTGACCCCACGTCTGGCGTCTCTCTGCCTGGGCGGAGTCACACAACACCAAGCCAGTTGAAAATGTGATGCCCTTGACCAAGGCATCTCAGGCGCTGAGGGACACACAGTAGGACCAACCGGTTCGGTCACAAAGCTTCAAGGTCTTGGAGCAAGTTCGAATTCGACAATGGTGCACTGACGATGTCTGTGGATGCTTCAACCGGAAGGCTCTTCTACAAGCAACTGGCAAAACTGAACAAAGATGCTAAACCCAGCACTCTATAAAGCCAGATCAACGAGCGAACGATGCTGAAATCGGAGAGGATAGAGAAAACCCCGCAAGAGGTGTGGACTTTAGTGGACTAGGGTGCTGGACTCACTATTGAGACTTGTGCACTCTGCCAGTCAAACGTATCTGTGGAACTGACATTGAAGCTTCCAACGGCAAAATGCCGGCCTGTGCAGGTGAAAATTGTGAAAACAAATCTGAGAGTTTAAGACATTGACCAAAAGAAATGGCTTTTGTTGTTTGGTGGCTGCTTTAAGCTGCACAACAGCAACATCAGACCCCAAAAGAGCTCCAGCCATGTGTTTTCCAGAAAGTGTTGAACCATCTAATCTTTCTAGAGCAACCAGCAGCAACCACGCCCATGGTTTCGCACCTGTTGGGGACCAAGCCTGAAGAACTGCAAGTGCCATGTTTCCGGGAATCAATTTCTCTCTCTTGACGGGAATGTGCACCAATAGAACGGCAACGCTGCAACAGATTCTTCGATGTTTGCTGCAGCACAATCCATGAGACGAAACTGCATTGCAATAGATCTGAGGCACCAACAATGGAGGTCACAACGTGATCAAGAGGTGCTGAATTAAAGAGAAGGCGCCCATAGGCATCCCAAATCTTGTACCTGCGATGTGCAGATTCACCAGGCTTGCTCCCAACACCCTAAATACAAGGGTGGTAAAATGGGTAGCTAGAGAGAAAACTGGCTAGAGAAGCTTAAAATGACCCATCTTCATCAATTTTCCCCCCAAAAGTGGCTATCATTCCCCTTTTTCATGGATAAATCTGTGAATGGTATGGTAAACCTATCTGAGCCGAGGACCGGCAATCTTCACCGGCGGAAAGGATCGTGTTGTTGACAAAGGACCTTGGCTTTCCAATGGCTTTGCTAACAACTCATTCCATCCATGGGCGAATCATCCTTTTCCTTCATGTCCCTATTCAAATCTATTCAAATATCCATAAAATGAGGAGTCGATCCATTGTCTAATCATCAGTTTCCCATTCAAACAGTCATTTTGGGTCAATCCCATTTTAAGGTCCACACCAAATAGTCTCGTGCTTGGTTTGGTTTCCAGGCACTGCATGAGTTCTCGGTTCGACTCTCTCTCGGCACCGCACCAGTCAAGCATCATCACGACTCCATCGTGAGCCTACCAGATCTACCAGAAGTGGGTTTGTCTGAAAATGTTGCAAGCTTCCCAAGAAGAGGATTGTTTAAAAGTTTAGTACCTCATTTTCCCTACAAAAATGATACAATAATTACCATATGTTTGGACAACCACAATTATTTGATTGATATTAATTCTTGGTTCGTTGAACGCTGAAAGGAGAATGACGAATACACTTAACTTCATTGACGGCAAAGCAATCTCCTCAAGCCACAGGTTAACATACACAGACCAAAACTGCCAGCATTGCCATACTTCTGCTTCTATGCAGGGGTCAGGGAGCCTTCCACTCCACTTGCTTTTGTCCAGCCTGACAGTTTCAAACCCCCGTTTTTAGTTGAGATTTGCTTTGGGTGACGAATGCAGTCGTCGATCAAGAATGTGCTGGGAAGCAACCGGAATTGTGATTAAAATGATTAAAGGACAAGAAAGTGTTGAGCTCTGATGTCTAACGCTGCCTTCCCCCTACCAATCCCTACCAGAATGCCTGGATGGACTTCAGGTGGATCTTGGAACTGCAAGCAAAAAGGATGTGCTCACCTGTCGAAGTTGAGCCTATGAATCCTTGTCAACATGATGTGGGTGCAGTTATGTGCAGTTCAAATAGCAAGGGCCAACTCACAAGGTCCACCAAAAAGTGAAAAAGTTCTGAAACATTGGAAGCGAGCGATGCGAAATGACAGGTTCCAACGTTCCAAGTCCCAGCAACAAGTTCAGAGGCATGTAAACAGCAACTCTATTGAGACGAAGACAGTCTGGAGACCAGACAACGGAGTAGATTGCATGAGACCTTATGGCAAGTCTCACTTGACAAGTTGAATGGTTTCAAAAAACTTCAACGTCTATTAGTGATTATATACTGTAGCAATGAACCAACAATCATCCAAGTTTACACACAAGAGGTATGACAAGAAAAGTAATGTGTCCACACAAAGCAGGGCGACTTACAAAGTCTGGGCAGGGGTCTGGTTCTCCAAAAGGGAAAGCAACACAATCGCATCCCATCTGGCCGAATCAACCCTTGTTTTGAGGGGTAGCGACCATCCAACTGGTGACACCTACACTCAAATGTCGAATGATAACATGATGACATATGATGACATCATATCATGAGACCTTCCATAGATCCTGCGTTTCCTTTCGCAACATCGAGAAACCATCTGCACCGTAAAGGGATGTGCCTTTTTTTAACGCGAGACGTCGACTGAGCTCCCCTGCTGCTGTGCGAGCGCCGATCGTAGCATGCCACTTCGAGACCATACCTGGCGCTCAGCTACCGATGACGGTAGCAGCAGCCATCAATTCGGGTGTCCAGTGGGGCCAAAGCCAGCAAAATTCGCTTCAAGGGAAAGACTTCCGAATGACTGCTTCAATTACTATTATTCATAATAATTCTTATTACCTGCTGTCAGAATCTGGCTGGCGTGTTGATGCTTATTGAACCTATTTGCACTGGAAGATTGATATGGTTATTACCCTTGGAGGATCTGGTTTGATTGTTCGGTGCTGTCTCCGTCTGAAACTCCAACTGCCACAGTCGTCTGTCACGCCTTCACAATCCCGTCCTCCCCAGCTGTTGCGATGGCCGAACCTAGCAGAGCCAAGATGCCCTCTAAAGACATGGTGACATGGATCTTAAGGGATGGAGCGCAGAGCTTCACAAATGTCCACTCATCGTGAAATCATATGAAATCCAGAAGATTGATACAAAAAAACACAAGAACGAGACATTCTAACTTGAGGTTCCAGCCATCAAAGCTCCATCTAAGGGAAATCACAGCACCTCGATGTGCATCCACCTGCGCTTTCTCCAATGCGGGGCCATCTTCTCAAAATCTGTCAAGAGTGATGCATCTGAGAAGACCATTCTAGCATCTCTGTGCATTTCTGTGCATTTCTGTGCATTTCTATGCAAGTATCATGAGTCATGTCTGTATTAGCAGTTGATGCACTGCGCTACCACCAGTGCTACGTTGCTGCCACAGCCGACCTTCTTTTCTTCTCGACCCATTTCACTAATGAGTCGAAAGGTACCATCTGCACAGCCCAAAGCAAAGGCATTGTCTGAACCTGCACAGCAGTGCACCGTGTCCCATGAAGTTTGCCAAACATCAAGTGGATCAGCCACTGGTTTCATAAGTCCAGAAAGTGATTAGCTGATTAGCTATCTTTTGTTCCTATGGTTCATACGGTTCATATTGGATGGGCTGGGAAAGCTATCTCAGGTGGCAAAATCGAAAGCTATGCTCTGCTCCAAGCCTTTGCCACTCGGCATCCAAGCCATGGCCTGGCAGTGAAGAATGATATTCACCACAGGATGTCCATAGATGATATAGATGTCGATAGATGTCCTATCATATAGATGTATCATGATCTATCTATCTATGTATCTATCTAATTTATCTATCTATCTATCCATCCATCCATCCATCCATCTATCTATCTATATATATATATATTATATATATATAGATGTAGAACAGTAGCCAATGGGTCTTTTGTGTGCAACGCACGGAACGAACATATGCAGGAACGCACTCATCAACGGACGTATATAACTAGATGTACTACTGTATGTGTATATATATGTGTGTGTGTGTGCACGCACGAGGCATTGTAAAAACTTGAAGCCCAATGCTGGTCGGTCTGTACTTTCCATACGTTTTTTTCTTCGGCTTGCCCCAAACTGGCCAGATCTAACCGTGCAGTAGGACTCACAGCTGCAAAGCTTCGCCTCAGGTAGGTGTTGTTGGGGACATGCAGGGGCAACTGTTGAATCGCGACTCGAGATCACCCACCAGATTCAGAGGAACTGAGATAGAGGAACTGAGATACGAACAATCGGCGAACCTTCAACATGCCATTTCCATATTTCCTTGTGCACGCCGGTGTTCAATATTCAGGACTCATTATAATTATAATGGTCTGGATTCTCGAGCTCTTGCCTCCGAAGGTCAACGAAAGTCTCTGGTCTGAGAGACTGAAAAGGCTGGCTCAAACTACCAGGGTAACTACTTTTTCTAGATCAGTTCTTGGTGTGTGGCATGGATACACTTTTTCATGCATCGCAAAAGCATCCTCTGAAATCTTTGCAGTGCCCTCGGACCCATGTGGTCCTGATCATCCCCCGCAGAGATAAGCTCATACTGCTTGCCTGTCTTGTACCTCGGCCCCAGAGCAGCCAAGAAGAGTCAGAGATGACGAGAAGATGACAAGAAGATGGCCAGAATGAAGGCTGAAAGCTGCGGAGAGTCCAATGGTTTCTGCTGGCTTTGCTCTTTGGTGTGATTAAGAAGGAAAAGCGGGTATTGTACTGTACCGGAGCTGGCGCAAAGCGATCAACGCACTGCAGACTGCCTAGGACTACCTACCAGGTTACCAATGGAGACCTGCACTGAGTTGCCAGCCAGCCAACAGATGTCACGAGCGACTTGTGCTTCGGCGCATCCTAGCTGGTTCCTACCCTCATGTCTTTTGTTCCAGCTGCAGGTGTCTACTCCATTGGGATATCACAGGTAAGATCTTCCATGAACAAACCAGACTCAAGACTCAAGACCTGGACACGGGTCTGTACACTTTCCTCTCCTTGATCCACCTTTGACCCAAGGTAAATTTGTGGATGTTACCATCAGAGACTACCCTCGCTGCATACGACATGCGCACAGATTCTTCATCCCATTTCCCGAAGCTGATCTCCTCATGTGTCAACTTCAGCCGCATAGCACGCCCTCAGGCCGTGAGGCATGGTGCAGTACTTTGGCATGTTGTGTACACATACATTACATGTAACAGGGAAGCATCATCGCTGTCGTCACACGCAACACATGTTCATACTGCCCATGCCTGGCAGTATTGCTTTCGCACTCAGAGTGTTTCAGAGCTCTAAGGCCGGGACAAGTCGTGCTTTGAACACAACCTACCTACAAACCCTGTCCCTTGCATCAGCATTCGAACCAAAAATGCAAGTAACCAAGAGAATTCCTGCAAAATTTGAACTCTGCACGGGTGTGCCTTTTTTCAAGCCACCAGAAGTTGCAGAATTGAAAGGTGGCTTTGTTTTGCTGGTGAATGTCACATAAAATATGCGTCTTCCAACCCTCTTCTCCCACGGTCTGCACCACTTTCTTCTTGTTCCACATCATTCCACATCTCCAACAGTAAGGTACTTTCCTCCCCAGATCTGCCCTACCAGCCACATCTTTTCCGCAGGAGCCGGGCCTTCATGGCTGGCAGGTATGGATGGGATCGATTGAACCCATTGTCTGCTGCCTGAGAGTATAACTCTGCAACCAAATCGATGGCAACAGTCTGTGCTTCGACAACTTCCACAACCGAAACTGCATCGAGGGAAGTCAGCCGTGCAACTGCAGCTGCGACAAGGCCACAATGCGAAAAAACATCTGCGACGTGGTATGTCTGTGTGTGTGTCTGTATTTATCTGTTTTGTGGCAACATGTGTATATATATATTACATACATACACATATGATATTACTATTATATTATTTTATATATATATATATATATTATGCATGAAAAGTATAGAAAAAAGGGTGACAATGTAGGCTGGATTGTTCAGCACAAAGCGCCAAGATCATGCGCTTTCGATGCATTTGTCTCGTCGGAGGCACGAAATCTAGCGTAGCCTCGTGACACCTCACTAGCAAAAGAAGCCCAGGAAGTTCTCCCCTAGGAGAATTATTCAAAGGAATACTAGATATACTAGTTTTCCTTCTAGAAGAGTTGTTTGATGGTTGTTGCCTTTGGGCCAAAGGAAGCTCAAAACAAAGATGTCCAGTTTCCTGGTTTTCTTCCTCCTTCTCTATGGCGGAGACTCTGCTCCAAAGCTGACCGCCGATTTGGGGTCAAGTGTAGCAATGTCAGGTGGTTGCCCGCCTAAGATCCGTGGTTCTGAAGCGATGTGTCAATCAAGGTGAAACAAGACCGGTAGACTCTTCACATACCTGAAGTGGGGATAACCCATAAACAGGTTTAAATATAAATATACATATTTGTATACATATAAATATATATACGTATATATATAGTATATTATATGTATATCAAAAATGGCGATAAAACCTTAGTTACAAAGAAGATTGCTACTGGAGTGGCCCAAGTCTTCTGATACATGCATGTGGGGGGGGCAATCAATTCAAAAGAATGGGATTGTTGTTTCATTCGACACCATCAAATGATGGATCTTGCGATCCAGCCACACCGTGCATCGCAACTTTTCAAATCACGAAACATGCGGCTGTCTATTTGGTTATTTGGTGGATGTTTTCACCTTGCTTTGGAGGAGTTGGAGGACAAGTGCATTTTGCAAGCAGATTCCGTGTCAATTGTCCGAGGCCCTTGCGCGACTCAAAAGCCGCCCATGTTTGGAGTCATCATCATACTAGGCCTCAGCGTTGGATCAAGCCTCTGTTCTACAACCGCTGGTGTGTTCTACCGCTTGAGGGTGGCATTTGCTTTGCACCTCTTCAGTTAGGATTTCTGTTCAGCAACAGTCCAAACAAAGACGAACAGTGCGAAGAGTGTCGGGAGAATGCAGAAAATGCATGTCATTCAACATACATTCGATGTCCAGATGTGCTGCAAAGATTGAAAGACTGCAACCACAGGTGTTGCTGGCAAGTTTCATACAATGGCTAAAGTCAAATCTGTCCGCGGGTACACCGGAATGTTCCTTCAACCTGACGGAGCCTGTGAGAGACCTTTAGCCTGAACCTCTCACAAGTTCAATACGCAAAGGGCGCGGCTGCATGCCCGGCTGCTGCTGCATGCCCATGTTCATGGCATTTCCCCTCAGTCAGGATATCACTTTGCTCAACCACCATAGGCTCCACCCACCCCAGCTCACCTTTGGCACATCATCCAGCCTATCCTCCACTAGGTGAGAGAGCCCTGTTTTCCATTCAAGGCTTGAAAGTTTCAAAGCGAAAACAAACCAATCGAAATGTTAAAGGAAGGCAAAGATATCTTGACATAAGATCCTCAGGAGTGACCACAGCTAAGGATGAATCCCACACACCTATTTAATACAGGCCAGCAACGGCTACATGATGCTGCGATGTCCGATCATGTATAATTACTATATATACAGCTCAACACCCACTGCATCATCTAGCCCCTAGGGCTCTGACATCATTGGCATGTTTGCAGGACCTCAGCAAATTTCTCAATCAGAAAAGTGGGCGTAAGTGAATCTAATGAAGAATCTACTAAGTCTGAGTCTCAACTGCACTTCGTCGGAAGTTTAGAACTGAATCGAGCAAAGGTTGTCTTGGAAACACTGCTTCCACTGAATTTACTGTTTCGATCTTCGGCCCCCTGGTTGAGCCATGGGACCACTGGTCAGTGCCAAATTTCCGAAGCCAGTGAGCCCTGGTCCCATGGTGGGCATCATGTAGTCTGGCACATAGTCGTTTGGAGCCTTATAGCCGCTGCTTCAAATCCGGGATATGCTTGTGCAACGGCTGACAGCCCTGTTTCCAAAACGAATGGCCAAGATGGCCAATCAAGGTCCTTGTGTTGATCGATCCGTAAGTCCCAAACGCTCTTTTGCTTCTCCTCCTCTTCTTCCTTTTTCTGCCTTGGAACACACCCCAGAGGGTTATCCAACTCCGGCAGTGTTCCCAACTCTGCTTTGCAAAGATGACAGTTTTGACAGTTTTCCAGCTTCCAGAACTTTCCAGCCAAGTTACGTCTTCTTGTCCAGTGCATTTACTCGGTCAGTGTACTCTCGCATAACCTGATCCCAACAACATGCAGAAACTGCAGCATCGAAATGGATCGAAAGAAGAAGCAGGCTACTCACTGCCAATCAGAATCCGAGCAAAAAAGTCTTGTAGCGAAACTTGAGGCCCAGGGGTAAGGGAGGAAAGCTAGCTTGGCAGGGAGCTTTGCATGAAAACACAATGATGCTGAGGATGCGGATGCTGCCGAATGTACTGCCAGTGGCAACATGCCGACGGTGTCCCCAGGGGGGGATTGAGCCACGGCGAAGGGGCGATATAACTATGAAGTTTCATGCGACTGGAGATTCCAGCCCCCCCAATACCTTGCTAAAGCAAGAGGGACTTCAGCTAGCAGAAGATAGCTTTCGTGAAATCTCAATAGACAGAGAAGGCCCTCGATGATTCCTGCCTGGATGAGGTAAGGCATGGCAAAATCCATGTTGCGGCTCTTCCAGGCCAGCTCCAAGGCGATATCTGGGCCTTGCTGCTTCACTGCTTCACCGATATCTGAAGAATGCACTCTGGACCCAAGCTTTGTTCGGAGCTGAAAGGCATGTTTTTTTCCCACTCTGCTCTTTAAAGTCTTTAAAATCTGAAACCTTCGCATCACCCGTCTGTGCCACTCTTTTTCCAGCGAAAATTGCCATAGTCGTTTCTCCGGCATCTATCCGCGGCTGCAGCTTGCTTCGGTTTGCTTGGCTGGATGCTTCGAATCCGATTATAGCTGAAACTGATTGACCGCAGAACAGGTGAAGACTTCTTCGTAGGGCCTACATCCATGACACTCAACTACTGGCAATATGAATCAAACATTGGTGGAGCATTTGCATGTTTATCTTATTTGCAAAGGCCATCTTGCGATGTTGTCAAAATGACTTTTTTTCCCCACCCGAGTGAAGTTCTTCTTCTGTCACCTCAAAATCAATGATGCTCTAGGACCAAGGGGCTTGCATCCAAGAAACGAATTATGTCCTTTTCTTGACAAGGTCACATGTTTAAAAGCAGCTTTGCCTGCCTCTCATTCAGGGGAAAAAAGTTCGGAATGAACAGAAATCAACAAACTAGTCCCCTTGGTCCAGTCAGCCCTGCATAAAAATCATCTTGGTACCTTCTTCTTTGGCTCTTTCCACCTCAGACAATGCAATAGCAAACAACAATTAGACTTAACATGAAAGTGTGAAAGTCTGACCCCCCAGAAAAACAGTGGAATGATACAGTGAGTGGATACAAGTATCAGGGACACTTGAGAAAGAGCGAATATGAAAGGTACAGTACCAGTAGGTGGACAACTGAGACAGAAGAAGTGCAATATAGTGCAATGCTGTTTTTTTAGCCCTGGCTGGTACATAAGATTCACCGCAAAGAAGGCACAGCTGCTATACCGAGGAACGGCAGCGTCACAGGATTGAGGATGCCTCCATCCTGGTGGCCATACCATGTGTAAACAACCCTTGGAGATACATCATCCCAAGTAGGGGTATACATGGTATACATGGTATACGGTATACCCAATACTAAATCCGAATTGGGGGTGGATTCTTAGTGGGTTTACCATGGTTTACCGCCACATCATCGATGGCACAGTGAAATGGTTCATCGACACCATTGCGGTACTTCAATGCAGCACCGAAGTGGATTTCAAGCATCAAGTTGATGGCATTCTGAGCATTCTGCAAAAGCAGTCCTCACCGACATACTCCTGCCGATTGAGCTCGTTCCTCAATGTGGTCGGCCAACAACGCTAAGCTGGTGATATGTCGCGCACTGGGATATTGGTTGTTCTTCAAGGTGGGACTTGGTTGCCTTCGCTTTGTTTGGAAAGGGCTGCCAGAATACCAATCGAAGCAACCACCTACGAGTTTCGGAAGGTGCAAATGGTTGTCTGAAGAAACTCTGACTACACAAAGCCAATCATTTTCCTGACCTGCAACAGGATCCAAGGCTCTCATCCTCTACGCGTTTTCTCGCTTTTTGAAGCACATCCTCTGGTACATAGACCTCAGACCGCACTACAGGGCGCACTGTTGGCAGCTTGCCACCCAACCCCTCACCACAGCTACTTACGGTAGGTCATATGGGCAAACTGAGTAGCTGCTCAGCAAAGTTTCCTATTCTAATGATATCTTCAGGACGGGTTTTTCTGAAAATGTTGAGAAAATCCCCAAAAATTGTTCACAATGTTGTAAATTGGGGCCCAATGGGGGCCATTAATCATCCCCCATTGTTGGACAGTTATCATACCAGCTGCCGAGGGACCAAAAAGCTGTCCAGCTTCGATCCTCGGCTGGTTGTGGCCTGAGCCTTGATTCTCTGATCGAACAAGTTGAACTCATGGGAAAATCGACACATCTTCAAATTTCGGCAAGGCCCTTGGGATGAGTGTGGTGCGATCACAGAACTGTTCTTGAACAACAAAAAAGACATCTCACTGCTGGAAACGAGCTTCTACAAGCCTGCATAGCCTGAATGATGAACTTTCCTGAGCAAACGATCAAAACATTCTGAGCTGCTCATCCGAAGGGCAAAGCAAGCCCAGATGGACATGCTCACACAACATGTTTTCCCTTGGATTCTCATTCACTATCCATGGCCAATCTTGGATACCCTGCCAGTTTTTTTGCTGGGTATAGCAAAAATTCCCATGTCTAACAAAGATGAAAGTACTAAACTGCTCATCCAAGGTTTCCCCAGTAGCTGGGAAATTCGGGCCCCAACTACAATGCACACACACAGATATATATATATATATATACACAGATAGAGAGAGAGAGAGGAAAAAAAAAAACATGTGTGTGTGTGTGTGCTGTGCACTACGGTGGCCGTGGAAAATCAATCACTTCACAGCTTTGATACATCACTTTGGACTGTGTAGACTCTGTTCAAAAAGGCACCTCCACATGCAGCCATCCAGCTACCATTCATTCGAGAGGCTCTGTTCATCTGAAAGGCCTGAGACCTGAGAATCGACCACTTCAACCTTTCTGCATTGCCACTTTCTCATACTTTCTCTGTTGTATCCCCAATACAGACTTCCGGTCTTTGCTTTCTCTGTGGGATGAAAAGTTTCGCAGATAAGACTTCAATGGCAGCATGCAATGTGATCATGGAGCTTCATAGCTGTTGACAATCCCAAGGTCCCAAAACATTCCAGTGTCCCCATGCCTTCAGCGGTTGGCCAAAGTATTCCTTCGCAGTCTCCAGAACGTCCACAGCCTCGTTGCCTACTTGGCTGGCCTGAGCCAGCTGCTGGGTTGAAAGTATGCCAAAGCGGATTACCAGTGGTGCAGCACGGTGCATGAGCGCTATTCATTGATCCTGTCTGGGTTTGTCCAAAGCTACCTCAAACACAGAAACCATTGCTGTTTTGCTCGAAATGACTGCTCGAGTTGTTTTCTCTTCTGCCATACCAGAATGACTAATTGCTATCCAGTCTTTTCTCGCTACAGGACTCTATGACATAAATAAGAATGGTAATTCCTTTTTCTCAAGGAGAAGGCAGTTTGCAGCTTCCCGTGCCAATCCCTTCTCTCCTTCATAAGGTTGGTTTTCGGCTCAACGTAGCCGGAGGCTGTGACTACCTGTCGCAAGCGCTGCAAACATTCAACTATTTGACTGTCCCTTGTACAAAACTGTGGTTGCGACGGCTTTAAGGCAGTGGGGAAATTCTTGCTGCTATAAAAATTTCAGAGGGAGAGTTGTGCGGACTTGGCAAAAATGATTTTGTAGGATCTTGCTTAGATTTGCAGGGAAACAGTCCCGCAACAATAGGGTGGTGTGCGCTTCTAAGGACCTCGGGAAAATAGACTCAAAAACCCAAGGAGATCCAAAGAGCAGGAATGCTTGAAAGAGAATCGCCTGTATGCGCTGGAAGGACTATGGTTTCATCAAGACGCTCTGAACAATTTGGATTTTTTGATTTTCATCATAATGATTCCCGTGCACAAGTGGTTGGCTTGCCTGATCTGCCAGGCGATAGTTGTCCAACATCATGTTCAAAGCCTGAGTTGTTTGCGTTCCAAATGGATGTTCACCTAGCTTGCACCGATGAACGCGCCGTTGGAAAGTGGATTTTCACTAGATGCTCTAAAATCCATGGAACGTTTGAAGGCTCATGCTCCAGGATTCCCTTTGTTCAAAACTGATACAATCAGGCTGCAGTGCCCTTTTGCAATGTTGACCCGATGGAATGGATATCTTGTCTATTTTGTCTCACACGCAATTGGTCAATGGATATCATCTGCTACCGTCCAGCAAAGGTTTCCTGCAACCGAGCTGAGCTAAGTCATGGGGCCATGGTGATGGAGTTTCGCTGGACGTCCTTGAAAGCGCGCAACTCTTGAAAAAAAATGTAAAAAACTGAAATAATCAATCAAATCATGGATCGGAAAACGGGGCAGTTGTCCATTTTTCAATGAGCAGATTTGTCAATTTTTCAGCCAGCAGATCCAAACGGTGTCCAATGAGCGTTGTCGAACTCCGGCGGGTTTATCTGAAAATAGGATACCCCAAAATATGAGGGTTGATTATCATTTGTCCATGTTTCCCAACAAATTGCCGTCAATGGGGGCACAATATCTCGAATGGGTCTCCTTGAATTTTCCAGTGGTCACCAAGCGCTCTTGCTGCACGGTGGCCTGATGCAAGTGAAGAAACATGAAGTAACAATAAACAGAGTGGAGTCCCAGAAAGTACTTGAGTCCAGGCCAAAGGGAGGGGGGACAAAAGTTAGTTGGAGAGATGTGTATTGGGAGAATATGTGGCGCGACCTTTTGAGTGTCATTTATTGACCTGAATTAAACTACCATTCGATGTTGCTGACACGCTAACACCAGCGTATCATGATATCCTGGCTCGCATGCACCATAATCATTCCACGAAGCGTCAGCATTTCGCTCCTAGAACCCTACTTCCCAAATACAAAGTGCCCCAACCGATCGCGCTTCGGTTGAGCCACTTTGCAACCGTCTGATTGAACCTCTTTTCCCTGGCCTTTCCTTCTTTGTTCCTTTCCGTGACAAATTCTATATACTTTGATCTATGCTGAATATATCTAAGTATCTCTATTTGCCTAGCTACATATATATATATAAACTATACAAATAACCAATCTTTTAATCTGGTAACTTTGGTGCGAGCAAGAATGTTTGGGAATCTTAAGATTCGCATCTTCTATTCCTCGCCAAGGCCTGGTAATGTTTCATGCCGACCTCTTGAGGAAATGGAATGCAAGACTCCAAGTGGTTGTTCTCTCACAAACATAACATTACAACTACATTACATTACATTACATTAGATGAGCGTAGATTAGGTTAGATTGCATTAGGTTAGCTTCCATATCATTAGATTACATTAGATTGTATAGCCTGCATTACATTACATGACACTGCATTGCCTTCAGAACACTCACGGTGAATATCAGAATATCATCTTGTATATGTGTTTGTTGTATATGTGTTTGTGTGGGCATGCGAACCCGTGGTCACAGATGAAACCCAGCGGGATGGACGCAGCGGGGTTTGAGCCCGAAGGGGGGGGTGGTCACAGTTCGACATGATATGACATGATTAATAATGTCCAACAACGGGGCCCCAAAACCAGTTCGACATGAAAGATCATGGAAGCTGCATGCAGTCTGCCCCCAATTCATTGCTACAGCAAATCCAACTCCACCTAGCAAGCTAGCTTTGGTGATCAAACCTATGGGGCATAAATATCCCGGCGTCCCGATCACCGTCCGGGTGTTTTGATAAAAATTACTTTGCTTCGTGTGATCCCCACCATGACATTTATACATTTTCTTACTGGCAAATCTTCTGGCATTCTATCTGACATATCTTCTGGCATTCTATCTGGCATTCTATCTGGCATATGTTCTGGCATATGTTCTGGCATATCTTCTGGCATATCTTCTGGCATTCTATCTGGCAAATCTTCTGGCATTCTATCTGGCATATCTTCTGGCATTCTATCTGACATTCTATCTGGCATATCTTCTGACATTTTTTCTGGCATTCTATCTGGCATATCTTCTGACATTCTATCTGACATATCTTCTGACATTCTTTCTGGCATATCTTCTGACATTCTGTCTGGCATATCTTCTGACATTCTTTCTGACATTCTTTCTGGCATTCTATCTGGCATATCTTCTGACATTCTGTCTGCCATCTTTTCTGACATTCTTCCCGTTGAGGTCCAGCAGTGCCCACTGCGATCTGGAAGTCGCGGTTGAGGTCCGGCAGTGCCCACTGCGATCTGGAAGTCGCGGTTGAGGTCCGGAAGTGCCCACTGGGATCTGGAGCTCGCGGTTGAGGTCCGGCAGTGCCCACTGGGATCTGGAGCTCGCGGTGGAGGTCCGGCTGTGCCCACTGGGATCTGGACTGCGAGGAGGAGGCGGCGGGTGAGGAGGCGGAGGAGGCAGAGGAGGCGGAGGAGGAGGAGGAGGAGAACAGCTCTGATAAAATCTAACAACCCTCACCTGGCAGGTGGGGAATCATCATTTCACCTAAGCGAAAACAGAATTTCTGCATGAAAAAAGCATGGTTTGGTTTCATGTCATTCAGCTTGGCCTTTTTTTGCTTTTTTCTCTTTGGTTTGGGTATTTACAAGTTTTGTAGCGCTTTGGCCGTGGCGCTGAGAAGATCAATCTGATTCTCCCAGCGCCATTGAAAGCTTCTTATGTACTTCCAAATCTTTTTGTTGATTTTGTTTCCTTTGGTTGTCATCAACGAATTGGGCACAGCTGCTTTCATCATCTTCCACCAATTGTCGATGCCACCAGTGTGACAGGACACCACACCTCTTTGGCCGACCCTGTATTTTTTGCAGAACTCACCTTTCGAGTGATTGACTTGACGAAGAAGAAAGCCATGCTGCTTGCATAAGCCCTTATAGCAGGACGCGTAGCAGCAACATCATGTACAAGTTCCAACGAAGGATCATCGCGTAGCAGGAACATCATGTACAAGGTCCAACGAACGTTAACATGCCCCACCCCACCCCACCCCATCAACTTCATGTGCAAGGTCACATGAACGGTAACAAGACATGAGCAAAAACGTTGCATTTCGCTGGACGATAAACGGGGCGACAGCATAAATATGATCTAATATATGTATAATATATTTATATATACATACATACATATACGTATACATAGAGAGAGAGATTGTGTGTAAATACATATACATGTGCGTATCTATTTACATGTATATTCTGTATATATATATATATATACATAAACCATGGCACCATGCCACCTGGCTATCCTTGCCACGCACAGCCTCCTGAACGCGGCTGATCAAATAGATGGCGTTCTCCAGCTCATCCGTGCTCTGGCACAGCGAAAATCATAGGGAAATATAGGGAAAATAGCCCCAGTTCTGGCATGTTATATATGACCATTTGAATAAGCAAAATGATGATGAATCCTTGGAGTTGGGGATACCCTAATTTCAGACTAACCCATATGTTTAAGGGAAAATTCTGCTGAAAAAACCACGGTGGGGTGTCCTCTAAAATTTCCCTTGAACCAATCCAATGTGACCAATTATGGCCGTTTTGAGATAGAAATAGAGGGAAGTGGTGATGAACCAGTGGGTGATTAACCTGATTGGCCATCTCATGTTGACAAACTTCTGGAATTTGGGGGTACCCTATTTTCAGAGGAAACCATATTCACTGTATCGAGCTGCGCAGAGGGCGCTTGCTTATTCTACCGGAGAACGGCCATTGGCAGTTACGCTGAATGACCAAGCCTTGACAAACTCTGCAATGGTGCTTTCTGATTCTTCAATGTCAGTAAGTTTGCGACTGTTTATGACAGCATGAACTCTTGCTATCAGGATTTCCACCCTTCACCACAAAGAAGCGAACAGCAGAGCTGACCTCAACACGCTGCACTGGAGCCTGCAAGCTGCTCCCTGCCTGCCAAAAAAATCCGCCCACACCGCTTTGGCGGTGAAGGCGTGCTTATTGGGGGGCAACAGCAACACTAAATGCTCAATGACATTTGTTAATATAGCAGTCGCTATATCAGCTTTAGCTGGGGGGGGCCAAAAACGGTTTCGCACCGAGACCAGAATACGGTGGTGTTTTCGACATTTTTCGAGGATTTTTGGGTGTCTGAGCGCAAGAGGGTATTGAAATGGAATTTTGGGTCATTTTGGTAGCTTTCCGGCAATGGAAAAACGGCCAAAAATGAAAAAAACATTGTACATAGCAAGATTTTGCAGGGTTTTTGGATGCCAGAGCATTGAAAACACTGCAAAAACAAGTGTTTTGGACTGACGTTATAGCAAAAAACGTGTAAATTACCGTATGCTTGACTGGAAACATTACAAAAACACTGTCAAAAGCAATGTTTTGGAAGGATTTACTGCCTTTATGGCAAAAAACGTGTAAATTACCGTCTGTTTGACTGGAAACATTGGAAAAACACTGTCAAAAACAATGTTTTGGAAGGATTTCTTATATATATGTTGGAGTTGGCTACCGGCATTGGCACATGGAAAAATTGAAGAAAACACTGTAAATAGCGGTATTTTCAACGGTTGGGGAGATAAGGGAATTGGAAGCATTGTCGAACATGATGTTTTCGACCGGTTTTATGGCGACAAAAGTGTAAAGTACCGTGCTTTGAAGGAAACCATTGCAAAAACATGGAAACACATTCAAAGAACACGGGATTTGGGGGACTATCTAGGCGTCGTTGTCTAGCTATTTGAAATTCCGCAGCTTGGAGAGCCTCCAAGGGAGGGAAAAGTGAAAATTCCATAGCTTGGGAAGCTGTCACGGCGGGGAAAAATGAAAATTCCCTAGCTTGGGAAGCCCCCACGGGGGGGAAAAGTGAAAATTCCCTAGCTTGGGAAGCCCCCACGGGGGGGAAAAGTGAAAATTCCCTAGCTTGGGAAGCCCCCACGGGGGGGAAAAGTGAAAATTCCCTAGCTTGGGAAGCCCCCACGGGGGGGAAAAGTGAAAATTCCCTAGCTTGGGGAGCCCCCACGGGGGGGAAAAGTGAAAATTCCCTAGCTTGGGGAGTTTTTACGGGGGGGAAAAGTGAAAATTCCCTAGCTTGGGGAGCCCCCACGGGGGGGAAAAGTGAAAATTCTTAGCTTGGCGAGCCCCCACGGGGGGAAACCACCCTTAGCCCCTCTCACGGACCGAAATAAACCTGCGGTGTGGGCGGCCACCCCACGCGAAGCGGGGTGAATATTGCATGAGCAAAACAAGCTCTGCTCTTGACCGTCGATATTTGCGTGACCCACTGAATGTTCATGGATTCAAAAGCACTGGATTGCGCCAAAAAATGGTGATCGCCCTCCCTCTGTTTCTGTAGAACCATTGATTTCTTGTACATCATTTAATTTGAAGCATAAACTAGATTGTGAAATTTTGTAAAAAATCAAAGTTCAGCAAGTTCTGAAAAGGCCTGAAGTCAGAAGACGCACTGCAATCTCTGCCCCCCATTCCCAGCCATTCCAGCCATGTGGCGCTGCCTCTGCCATTCCCAAGTCTGACGGTGAGAATCCAGCAGCCTCTGCTGCCAGTGGTGCACCAAGACTAAGACCTCACAAGGATGAGTGGATCAACAATTCATCAGAACTATGCCTTGCATATGCCGGACGTTGTCATATGATTGCCTGATGATGAGTGCAGTAGACATGTTTTGTTTCAGTTTCTTTCTTTCATTTCCTTGAGATAGTTTTCTGACTCAGGCGAAAGTCAAAGAAACAAAATCATAGTATGCAGAGGAATTGCAAGGTTTACTGGATCCTGGAGACTTGGCCGCGCCCCATCTACTCTTCATCCGTTTCATTGTTGTGCATGTGTGTGGCTGAGTAGCACTCTCTTGAACATTTTAGACATTGCCACAAGCAGATACAGTTAATAGGATGAGAATGGGCATGCTTCCAGCGACATCACAAAGACTGGTCAAGAGTGCATGGAATAGTCGCTGCTCGTGAGAAGTGTGTTTGTTTGTGCGTGTCGTTTGGTTTTTCTGTCTGTTGGTAGAATAAGCTGAACACATGACAATGCCAACTAAGATGTGAGTGATATTAGAAAGAGACCGACATGGGAAGTGTGCAGATAGTCATGCCTGGCAGTAGCAACATCTGTCTTCTTAGAGGATGCGAAGGTGCTACCCATGCCTAGGCAGGTGGCCGCGGAAACGGAGATTAGGAATTACAGTAAGTTGTTCCACAAGAGTGAATCACATACCAGTTGTTCGATATGTGCTGTAACCACCCTTGGCAAAGAATGTTGCAAGCTTTCGTACAGGGAACTCTTTCTTTGCATGTTATAGCTACATTTCGCCGTGTTTCTGGAGATAATGACGGTATCAATGACAGCCCCAAATGTTGCCAAGCCACCCGCCAGGGTGCCAGCTGCGCTAGCGATACCAGAGCCAGCGCTGGCAGCACAGCTGCCCGTCTTGCGTGTCTTGCGCACGCCATGGCAACGCTCAAACGCTCGAGCCGCACAAGCCATCCACGATTACCACATGACTACGTGGGACGTTGGAGTCCCAAAAGCAACTCCAAAGTCCACCCTAAGCAGTTCCGGATCCATTGCCGAAAATTCCAAAAACAAATGGATATACCAGATAGGGATAGGACAATAATATGTTGCCGCCTTACACTCTGCTTTTGTGCTTTGTGCTTTTGCCGCCCTGCTGTGTTCAGCACACCTCACGCCAGGTTGGCTACAGCCACTCCCATTGGGGCTCCCTGCGAATCAAATCATAGCAGGTGTACAGGCATGCTGCAAAGCACTCCTGGCCGTAACAAGCAGGTGGCCACTTTTTTGATATGTGGGTGTGTCTGAAAATCGGGGATTGAACCCCAATGTTTGTGGCAACTTTAATGTGGAAGAGGATGACAGACTTGATAGATCCTCAAAATTCAGGCACTCGATTTTCAGACAAACCCACATTCAAATCCTTGGGAGCTACTGATAAAAACGATACAAAGGGTGGAACAGGATCCCTCTGAAGGATCAACTTCAACCCTTCTGTCCCGTGATTTTCAGATGTTGCCTCGATGGACACAAAGATTTTGAGAAAACGAAAGAAAGAAATATGAAAACCTCTTTGTGCTCAGATCAGGTCTAAGCGTTTCTTTTGATGTCCCCTATCTTTCAATAACTCAAAAATACAGCAAAGTCTGCCTCAGGCGCAATATGATTGGCATCCACGCTTGCCTTCATGTCTTTCTCCACAAAGTACTTCAACAAGCCTTCAGCCTTGGCTCGTCCAAACTACTGGGTTCGCCCTCAGTTGGTCAGCTGGCCTGAGTTGCTGGAATCCTTTGGAATTGCCGTAGTTTTTCCTCAGTTTCCAGACCAAGTCTTGGTTTCCACTGGCCATAGCACTGTCCATGCAGTCCTGCACAGCTCAAGGACGAAGGTCACATACTCATCAGGCGACGGTGTGTACATGACCATATTCTATAGCAAGATCTATCTTATGTGCGAAGCACAATGGAATAATGTGTTTCCTCCGAATCAACCCTTTCACTTTGTGCGCTCCTTGTACATCTTGTCTTGCTGAGCAAGTTCAATGGCTTGCTTGTAGCGCTTGTTCTTCTGATAGACCTACGACTATCTGACTCTCACGGCAAATCAAGTGATCTGCCATGATCTGCCAGACTGTGCGAATTCGACCTGCATGTGACTGTATGAGCATTTGTGGAGATTAGCGGGTGATCCACAGCAGGAGCAGAACCCTGATTCTTGGTGGAGAACTATCTACCCATATCTACCCATATCTGCCCTATTAGGAAACAATACCAGGATAAATTGAACGGTGCATTCTCGCCGCGGGAATAAGGCCAAGGCCAGGGTGGCAATACGACGCATCTCGATAAGTTCATGCTTCTCCAATTTTTGGGCCTCACAAAGCGGCATCAAACGTCAACTCATTGGCATAAAAAAATGATACTATGGGAAAAAATGCCGATGTCTAGAGTCTAGATGCTTAGTGCATCCTTCATGATCTTCGTTTGTTGCAGTTAAAGGGCGATGTACACATAGTGAGAGAGAGAGAGAGAAAGTTTGGGATTCTGGATCACCGCAATCTTGTTTCACACTTCAACTCTGGTATGTCATTTATCGGTTACGTATCTTACGTATATGTTTGAGCCTCCGGGTTGAAAACCGAATGTGGGTTTTGTTTTTTTGATGTTTTTTTGTACGTTTGGGGTGGGGTGGGCTGGGCTGGGGTGGGGCGGGTAAAAATGTTTTGCGCCGACGTCTTCATTGACTTGATACTACGCTGCAACAATGCTCACCTGCTTGATGCTACCCTGCAACATGCTCACCTACTTGATGCTACGTTGATGATGGGGTGGGGTGGGGTCGGGTCTTGCACTTGCGCACATACGTCACGCGACTCTACTGTACAACTGTATGTTCTCTTTCACTTGCACACATACGTCATGCTACAATACACTTTGCATGCTCTCATCGAACAAATCAATTTGTCAAGAAAATCAGGAGGCATGCTGGTTGCACGTTCTGGGTTCACACCTGCACCATCGATGCCTGCTGAGTAATGTAGAAAGCTGATTTGCCTTCTCGATTGCCAACTTGCAAAAAAAAACAACCCAGATTGAATAGCGGCTTTGGAAATATGTTCGCACATGGCAATGGCGATGGGAAGCACATGTTGTTGGATCTGTTTTAAAAAAACGGGACTCTAATTAGCCAAGATTTGAAAGTCACCGGCAAAACGCGCTGGCGCTGTGGTTTCGGACACGAAGGCTTCCCAAAAGAATCGCTTTTTATGATGCAAACACCCTAGAAGTTACCCACATTACCGCAAACCATGGAAAACACATGATTGGCATGATCCCAATTGTTCGAAAAATCCTGATTTTAGGTTTTTTGTTTTTTGTTTTTTTTGTGTTTTGTTTTTTTTTGATTTTGGTTTTGTTTAGCCATTGCAGAAAACCAAGCCGAAATTGTCAATGGTTGCAAAGCAGTGAGAGAACCATCGCACATGTGCAGTGTCAGTGGTTGCAGAATGCAGTGAAAAACCGCACTCCCAGGGTGTCCCCTTCTGTTATTTTACACCTGCAATTTCCAACCCGGCGGGATGTTTGACGTCCAGCGAATGATCCTCGGCCATGCCTTTTTTGGGGCCCTTGGGGCCCAAGCCAAAGCAATCTGATCGAAGTTGTCGAACTCCTGGACCCCGGGAAAGTGTAGTTAGGTAAAAGGGTTATTCGATTATGAGATGATATGCGGTGATACGCAAATATATGCGATGATGTGTTTCAAGGCCAAAATAATGAGTGAGACGTGCACTCTTCTCAGGATCTACTTCTATCCGAGGAAAACCATTGCAATCTTCATGATACTGTGCTACAACCACTTGTTGCCTCGAGTCAACGCGGGAGCAGAAAAAGAAACATTGCAAACGCATCACTTCAATTGGACCAAAGCGCCACACTAATCCTCTACGCATCTCCCTGCAGCAACAGCTGAACGTCGATACTGCCTCGTTTTGATATGAGAGTCGAAATCCCAAATGCCCGGAATGCGGGCGAGGACCCTGCGTTGACAGGGACGTCTTGGCAGCGGCATAGTCGCATGCCGCAAATGTCGAGCCCAGGCCATGCAAAGCCTAAGCCCTACTAAGGACCGCTGCCTCAAGATCTTTGGTCTTGGGGTATCGGGCTTCAAAATCCAAGCGCCTGCAGTTGTTGCAAGGCAGCTTCTGTAAAACAAAAAACGCTGCAATGGCTCCGGGGACTTGAGAAAGCAAATCTTTTCAAGAAAGATGAAGAAAGCATAGTGGGTCTGAAGGATCTTCCATGATCTTCCCTTTGCTCCGCAGCCCAAAATAATATTTACATGGCTCTGCACCTTTAAGGCGACAGAGAGAAATCAGTAGCTGATGTGGACCTCTGAGTACAAACAGTACCATAGCTCCCACAAAGACTCACTAACGCCACGATGCCACTGTGAGAGCCGGAAAGACAGAATCGGTCACTGAGCAATCTTTAGAACTATAAAAATGAGTTCACAGTGGTAGCGGAAGTGCACTTGCATGTCCTCTGGATCTAGACAAGAGCACCCAGAGTCAAGTTGTCAGGCCAGTATGCATTCTGAGAATGTACAAGTGCCATCATTTTACCCCTTGAACACAGTGTAGCTCAGTATAATATTGAGGTTTCTTGCTACTAATCACTATGTTCCACTTAACCCTGCTCGGACGGCTGTGTGCAGTGCAAGGCTTGCAGCTATAGTGGTCCTGTTCGAGCACGCCTTGCCTCCCCAGTGCAAGGTCGGCATTGAAGCAGTGTCTGAAATGAGGGCTTGAACCGCAAGGTATGGCAATTTTTATAGAGAAAATGCTGATGCACCATCGAATTCGGGGTACCCTAGTTTTGAAATATATATATATATATAATTAGAATTAATTAGATCCAATTTATGGGCAAGATTTGTGCGCAACCCTGCAGTGAGGCGAATTCAGCCGGTGAGGCGCCATTGCAGTGAGGTGTATCGATTTTTTTTCGAGCATGCGCTTCTGGGTGAAGGAAGGTTCGTGGATAACGATTCAGTTTTCAGACCTCGCCTGAAGGCTTGCGTTCTTCAGCTCGTCTTCTGCCACCTGCGAGTTGCGGAGAATGGCTTGAAGCTTGCAGACCAAGAGAAGACCGGAGAAGCACAGACAGTTTGCTTCTCCTGGGCCACTGCCGCCGTCACTTTCTGCTTCCAAGTCACTGGCTTCCAAATTAGCAATGACCGTCGCAAAGGGTACTTGGTCAGTGGTGGATGCCTTCGTTTCCTGGTTGCCCCCTCAAGTTGACCGGCAGATTGAGCACGTCTCAAACAGGCCTCACTCACAACTGCCATGGAATCTCTGCCTGTTGTCCCAAAATGCGCGTCCTCTTATGAAAGCCATGCTAAAAAAACATTTCTCGAAAATCCATGTCATTCTCTAGCGAGCAAAATTCTGCTCAAGTCATCTACTAGATTCTAGATTTACATGAATCACAACTTATCTTTCAAAATTCTGCCGACATGAGGAATCTTCATAGACATCGAGCCTTGCAAACTCCATTTTTGTTATCCAACCAGCTGAGAAATGCTGCAAGTGCGCCTCGCTCTCGGGCACAGCGACTGCCGGTGCGCGAACCAGAAATGCCAGGTTCGGCTCCATCTGCGAGGAAAGGGCAGGGATGCAATCGATTTCGGGCCTTCGGGATTGAATTTGTTGAAATCTATGTGTAGAGGAAAAATCTGTAGAAATGTACCAAAGAATACCAAACAGCTATCAAACAGATAGGATCAGGTAGGGTCACAAGAATTGCAGGGCAACTCATCTCATCGCTGGCTCCGAGGCTCTGGCCGGCGCTGCGTCCACTTTCAGTGACAGAGCAGTCAGAGGCGGCAGTGGAGGCCGCGTCCGTCGCAGGGGGGTAGGCCTGTGGCAATGACAGGTTGCAACACCTTTGGCAAAACAAACTGGTTGCACTATTTTGATCTATTTTGCACGTCCACAGATTCTATGTCCCATTTTCCTGAGCAAAGTTTGAGGTTTTGTTTGCTGTTTTATGCTGTTTTAACATCTTTTAGCCATGTCTTGTTCTGCCAAGCTACACTTGCCGCAGCGCAGGCGGTGCAGGGGAGCTGCTGGCGACTGATGCCTGGATCCAGGCAGCGTAGTCCTTCACCTGCGGCGCCAGGTCAGCATTTGTCGAAATCATTCGAGTCATCCATTGAGATGATTTTACATCACTGTGGCCACGTTGATCAATGTCCAAGAAGATCTGTTGATATCTGTTGTGCGAGTCTCTACTGTGAGAAACAGATCTACAATCCGCAAGGGTCGCATTCTGAATCCAAGTCCCCGTCCTCGTCGGGCAAATCCACTCGCTCTCTCAGCGCAGTGAGAAAGCTCCGGCCTCGCTTTGTTTCACAAGACCGGAACCTTGGAGATAGTGCCCTGACCAACCCCTACCGTCGGAAGACAGTGATTCAACAGTGGTTATATATATATATATACCTCCAGTCATCAGTTACACGCTTTTTTCCTTTTCCAATCCCCAGCGACGTTCGATTCTTGTCCCCAAAAAAAAATGTATATCAATTTATCATGTAGACTGTATAATAGTTGATTTTTCCAGTTAACCTCCATTTCCTTCGTGATCTTCGTGGATGTTCCCATATTTTCCTACACGTCCTTCGTGGATTTCCATCCATTTTCCCATACCTTCGCATGGAATCTCCCAGCTTTTTGCACCTTCAGAGCTGAGAGCCATATCCCCATAGAAGTGCTGCACGAAGTGTGCCAACAACCAATACTGCGCATGAAGCCTGGGGCAGCAGACGCGGAGAGGCGGACAGGGACCTGGCTGGGAAAAGATGGGAAAATTGGTGTGAAAAGATGTGAAATATGGTTCCTACCGTTTCTTACTGTTTCTTACTGTTTCTTACTGTTTCTTACTGTTTCTTACAAGTACAGAGGACTAGAACTGTGCGTGGCGCGCGTGTGAACGTCATGTCCTGAGAATGAACACATGCCCAGATATCCTCCACCTTCACTTGAAGATGTTTCAGACTTCCTGTGACTTCCTCTTGTGCTGACACTACTGCAGGTGAGGCACTTGTGCTGGGCTACCTCGGCAGGATTTTCCCAACTGCTTTCACCGGTGAAGGCGTTGTAGAAGTACTGGGAATCACCTACAAAGCACTGAAGGATCGCATTGAAAGGTACACCATGGTAAAATGATAAACCCTTCTTGATTTTCGCTGACCCGGCCTTGCTCTTGCTGTGACCAACCTGTGCAGAAACCGACCAATCAGATCAAACAGTGAGAAATGAAGGGAGAGTACGGGGCAGTTTGCCAACGAAGCCAGCTCTGCCAACCTTCAAGCGCTCTTACAGCTTCTTCATCTGCGCATCTCCTTGGCTCGTCTATCGTTCTGAATTGTCTTGTCACTTGGCATCTTTGGATCAAGATGGATTGATTATGGATTAAAGGAGATAGATCTATGTACTGCATGTTGCTAGGTGCTGTATATGCTCGAATTTGCCTCCAGTTTAACATTCTCCGCCTTCAATGAAGCTCCTCGCTTTGCCAAATTTGCTGTTTCACACATAAATCACATAAACTGCCCTGAGCCTCAACGGCCGCCGCCCCTTCACCTGCAGCTGCGCCTCAAATGGGCCGACAGGGCTGATGCCAAATCACTGGCTGATAGGCAGTCGCGGATGATCTGCATCACAGTGTCCAACACTTGGAGGAAAACCTGATTTGATCGGCAGGTCAGCTGGATCTAGCTGGATTGGATCTCTCTCTCTCTCTCTCCACAGCTTCACAGCTTCATCCTTGACAGCGAGCATTTTTTGGAAGGACCTTTAGCCAAACTTTAGCCACTCAGTGCCAGTCATGCTGCCTCAGCATTTTTGGGCTCACAGAACCAGGTAGCACCAGCATTCCTTGAAATAGGTACATTGGATTGTGTTGGTTTGTGTTGACCTGTAATCATTCCATGCACAGAAAAGAAACCTCAAAGGTCCTGCAAGGACACACCGCTTCCACCGGAATCCAAGTGAATCAAGATGAATCAAGTGACATCCATCAACGGATGCTCCCAACTGGACTTGCCGGAAGGATTCCAAAAGTAGACCGCTCTGCTGGGACTAATCTCCTGATGGATGCAAGTGGCGAGCTGATCATGGAGTTCAGTCGCTTGTGCTGCCAGAAGCTTGGTGATTCCAAAATCATCATGGATTGCGCTGTGGCTGTGGACTTTCTTAGTTTTGAGCCCAGAATGTGTTGACTCAGAATGTCTCATAGCAAATGCACTGAAGTGTCACTGGCACATTCATACACTAGGCTTTGCGACAACGTCAAGGGTTCACCCATATTTTTAGAATCTCTCGTGACGTTTGCGCAGCTGAGATTTTTGAATGACTGACCCGCCTCTCTCCAAGGTGGTGGCAAGGGTAACTCATGAGCCGCAGCACCCAATGCTGTAACCAACTCGTTTGGTGCTCCTGCCGTGTGAATGGCAACGGCTAGAAGTTCATCGAAAATCAGCTCAGAAAGGACGGGGGAAATATTAGAAATCCACCATTTGTAGTTTTCCATTGAAACCTCCATTTGTAGGGGATTTTCCAGCCAGCCATGTTTCATTACCAGAGGGTATGGGAAAATCCGAGAAAATATGCTGAACGTCTCCTCTGCCCCGCGCTGCCCAGCGGAAGCTGTTGAGAAACTCCGTGCGAGAACTGCGCAAAGGTGTGCCACCCACTGGTGCTCCGCGCACGCATGGAGCAGCGGACGAACCCGGCATCATGCACCAGCAAGTCTCGACCTATGGTAGTGCAGCACATACCAATCCATAAGCTAGGTTCTGGGAAAGTTCTCTTCGTAGTAGGTGTGCTTGGCTGAAATGCGTCATGAAGAAGCAGATGGTGTGCAACAGTTGTACTTAAATTATCAACTCCTTGTCCGCAAACCACTGCTCGAAAGTCATGTTCCAAATGCAGGATGTATCTTGTATTTCCATGTGAAGTGTTTTGCTGTCAATTATACATGCCATGACTCCATCCACTTTGTGGAAGCTGAAGATAGCCACGAAGAGCAGGATGACAAAGCATGACTGGCTATGCCATGCTTGCAGCAGTCAGAACAGAGCCAGTTGGTAAACCAAAACCACGTTCAATAGCTAGATATTAAATAAGTTACATTCATTACATTACATCACATGACATGACATATTACCTTTCCTTTCCTTACCTTACCCTACATTACATTACATTACATTTCATTACATTACATTACATTACATAGATACATTTCATTGTGTGTACATATATATTATATATATATGTATATATGTATACCGTGTATATATATATATAGTCCCAATCAATCCTAATCTCTGAATATCAAACACTCCCCATATGAGACCCTTAATATCACGGGATGGGATCAATATCAAGTACATTGTCCTCCTCAATGGGTGATTTGCCGCTCGTGGACTGCACCCTTGAGGCCAGCCACTCTTGGTCTGTTCTAATTACAAAAGCTGCGTAGCTGGTGGCTCTGGTGGTTCCTTGGATTCTTTCAAGGGGTGCACCAATAAAATGTCAAAAAATATTGATGTTCCATCAGATTCCATCATCTCCCCAAAACTCGCGAAGAAAACTGCAGGGTCCTACCAGCCTCAGAGTGTTACCCCAGACGCTCTCCTCGATGCTTTGTCTCAACTCCTCGTACTGCTCACCATCCACGTAGATGTCATTGATGGCCTTAAGAGACTGGAGGCCGGCTAAGGTCATCAGGAATCTACGAGCCAACGGTTGTGCAAAAGAATTCCAAGGTGCTGAGTTGCTTTGAAGGGCTAACCAAACTGTGCAATAATCTTGATATTCTGATGTGCGATTTTCACCGCGCTAGAAGAGAAGCTGTAACATGTTTGAATCAGTCGCTAGAACAGAAGTGGGTAGCCCATCTCACAGTATGTCACAGTACTCCTTGCATCTCCTTGCCTCATTCACTGGCGCGATGTTGTGCTGTTGCACCTGCTACCAAAAAGAAGGTTTGCGACGTCAGCCGGAGCTCAAAACATTGCCCCGACGATGGAATCTGTGATGGCAACGAGTAGGATAGTATTGTCATATATATATATGTGTGTTGTTATTGTTATGTCTTTACTTCTAGTACTTTACTTGCATTATTACTATTGTTATTATTACATATTATTACCATTATTACTGATCTTACTGCTATTATTCTTTGGTATTCTCAGTATTCTCAAGTACTCTTGAACAGGCACACATTGGACTTCAACCATCCCGCCTGTTTCATGTAGGGCATGATCAGCGGCAACTGGCCAGCCTTCTTGACCTTTACCAGAAGTACGGGCAGGAGTCCGTGTCCACTGCAGGAAGAATTGTTGGATTTATACTCGGTTGTCGGTTGTCTGACCATATCAATCTGTTTCTCAACATTCCAGTGACGGGTTCTATATCAGCCAGCCATGAAGACCACGACAAACCGCACCTGTTGAACAACTCGAGCGTGATCGACCTGCGATGTCAGTGTTGCTAATGCACATCTCAGACCACCCAAGTGCCAAATAACCCATCACATTCAAAGGCTTGATTGGTTTCAAAGTGCACACAGAGCTGGTGAAATGTTGACAAACGAAACGAATTTCAATCACATGTGCATCGACCTTTGGTGTAATCGTGCTCAGGAGTGAGTTCAACTGCAGCGGCCTTGTGATCGGCAGCAAGAAAAATGTGTGGCAGGACTGTTGAGAAAGATGGGAAAAGGGGGGCCAGCAATAAAAAAGGAAATTGACACACACAAATCATGAAGTCCATCCTTGAAAAAGGCAATTTCCTGGAAACGCTACGTATATTCTCTCAAACATATCAAGCTGCCTTTTTCATCTTGAGCTCCTGGCTGCTCATCCAGGTAGAACTGTACTGCTCGGTAGTACAGCTCCATGTTGGACACCTGCGCGGCTCATGGCGCCGGTCCTTCTGTGGGGATTCCCTTAGTGACCTAGTGGATTGTGATGTTCCCGATTACATTGGTTAGTACCATCCCCAATCATCAACCAACCAGGGTTTTAAAATGTTTTAAACACTGCTCATGTGTTTCTATATTTCTTTATGTTGTGATACATGGTCATCAAAGGCCATCTAGGGCACTTAACCAGGAAATTTTGTGTCGAAGCTATCAAAAAGCCGTTCAAAACAAAAAAGAAAGCCGGCTGCCTTCTGCATGATCATCAGGAACCTCGGGGACTGGCTCTCTTTCTGAAAGGAAACACTGAAAGGACTCAATGGCAAGTACACATCTCTGGAAACAGTGTGGCAGCATCAAGTGCTCCACTGGTCATGGGCAAACGCAATTGGGCTGTGAGCCTCAGTGACGTCAGGGCCGCAGGGCCGACCCGGAGCCCGGATGCAGGGGCCCGGATGCAGGATGCACTGAGGATGGCACCATCATGGTGTTTGCTGCCTGGTCATACTCGTCATAGTGCGTGTAGAGGAACACCGCATGCTCCCAGTGATAGTGCCTTCCAAGTTCAAATTGATTTAGTTTCAATATCATTAACAATTACCATAATTTATATTGTAATTATATATATATAATATCTAACGACATTCAAAACATATGGTTTGAGTGCCAACTTGATGTGGCCTCTCGCATGCATGGATGAGCTTTGGGATGTTCAACTTCTGCACGTTCATCTTGATGAAGTCCATCAGCATCTTTGGCTTGTACCTGCAGTGACTGTGGGTGTGCCATCCTTGGCCAGGAAACACGAACCTGAACTTGCACTTTAAGACTCTTGTCTTGTGTCCTAAGTTGTTTTGGCCCCTGTATTTTTGTGTTGTCCTCCCAGCAAGAGACCTGGATGAACCTGAGATCTGCAGCGCACTTCGCATACATCGTGGCCAGCTCTGTGTACATACCAACGTGGGCACCTCAAAGCAACCGCATCGGGTCGCATCGGGTCGCGACCAGGGGACCCTTGGATGGCTGGAGGTGTGGAGATTTGAATCGCTTCGCCAGATTTCTCTGTGACCAGTTTCCTTGGTAGTGAGGAGTGATCAAATATGATCAAATATGATAAAATATGTAAGCAACATAACATAATAGAGACTCTGCTCACAGCACAAGACCATTCTCTGTGAAAATGCCTGACCTGCACGGCCTGCACGTGAAGAGGACGATTTTTGATCTTTGTCCAGCTCACACGCTGGCAGCCGTGGTCATGTGGTCGGCCCGGCAGATGTCCACCAGAAACCCCGACAGCCACATAAAGAGGCATGTCTCGCTGCCGAATGTATCCCGGTAGTAGTGGAAGCATCGCATCTAACATCATCTCATGAAGTTTATTGAAATCGAACAAAAAGATCTACGGTTCCTGTAGTTTCGTAGGACGCTTCTAGCTTTTTCTAAAAAGGCACCGGGAACCTCCAGAAATATGTGCCTCACATCTACGAAAAAATCCGTCTGAATTCATCTCAGAAGGCCTCACGCAGTCTCCAAGATTCCCCCTGGAAAAAAGAAACGAATCTTGCAGCATCAAAATGCGAATCAGCTGTGAGTTGTGCCAGTTGTGGGGTGTACAAGGTAAGAAATCTTGGAACTGCATGGAATTACGACGTGACGGCACAGGTCGCACGTTGCAAGTAGGCCAATGGAGAATGCCATTCGTGCTTGGAAGATGTTTCTGCAGGACTACTCAATACTCAATACACCTCAAGTCAAGCCTGTCCTGCCTGGAAAACCTTCAGAGCCTGTGAGAATGCGGAGTTCGTCTCCGCGGCTCGGCAAGAAACTGGGGCACGCGTGCTTCTCATCTCTGGTTCCATGCAGGTATTGAAGCTGGTCGGCATCATCAACCAAATGCTCAAAGCTTGTCAGTTTGGCCAGATCGCAAAAATTCTGTGTTCGCGTCAAGCCAGTACATGGTTTGGAAACCAAAGTTTGGGCCAACTGACAAAGGCGAGCAATGCAGCAAGAAAGGCAACCGCTACGTTGCGGAGATCCCCTGTGGCAGGCACTTCTGGGGATCTCTCAACGAAGGCTGGTGGAGAGTTCAGAAACTTTGAACAAAAAACACCTGACAAGATGTGGCCTCAAAGGAACTCAAGACACCTGTAAAATATCATGCCCTCAAGCAACTCGGACCAAAGTTTCAAGAAGGAAGCAAAGTAATCGAATGGATAGGATCACGTGTAGCTACAGGAAAGCGGGCCCAGTATCACTGAACAAGTTGCCGGAACAACCTGGCGACCTGCTGAATCTTCTGAACTCAGCTGCTTGGCCCAGACCTGGGATCCCAAACATCGCAATGCACGTTGAAGGGCGACCTCCTGATCTTGCTCTGGAATTCCTTCCTTTCGAGATACATTGGCAAAAAAATCATAAAAATGCAACTCTTCAAACTCGACTGGGATATCTGAAGAATCCAGTTCTGAGACCTTTTTGAAAGGTAACAGAAGCAAAGGAATGCCCTGAGTCAGACCGACCAAGGTCGCCCGTTGCATCTAATTGAAAAAGCTCTCGCGCGCGAAAGCTTTGCAATAAAGAACCACTGAAACGAGATACTGATGCAGAATCAGACCTCATTTGGAGACTTGAGAGACCACCTCAATAGGTTTGAGCAACCCACCAAATGGAATTCAATCAGCGTGGAGTCGTAAACTGCATGTGCCCCTTGTCTCTCATTCTCAGTGCCAAGGATAGTATCAGCTTTCCAAGTTTTCAGACTTTTGGACTTTTGGAGACTTCGTACAGTTGCAACATGCTAGATTGCAGTAAGGCCAAAAAGATTGATGTCTGCCAGTTTGATCAGATTTTGTTTCGGGGACAAAATATTCGAAGTTGTTTGATCCTGTCCCCTCAAGGCCAAACTTTACAGGATGGACCCATGCCTTTACATCCGGAATCCGAGCGAAGCAATTTATGCATTTGCGAAGTCATCTCTGTCAGGCTGTGCCGGACGCACCTTGGCTGCGAAGCCACGCTTCACTGCTTGGAGTTTTCAATTTCGCAAACCTATGCTTTAGGCTTTAGATGGATGATGGTTTATCTTTCAAACCTGCTTCTTTGACAATCAAAATCTGTTACGAGGTCCAGAGATGTCCAGAGTAGAAGAATCACATGCCCAACATTCGATGTCTCTCGCTGACTTCATGAAGCCATAGCATGCACCACCGAGGCCAGGGCCTGTGGCCACGACAGAAGCTTCGTCTCATGGTCTTAAGCGGACTTCTCCTGATTCAATGTCGATGATGTCGATGATGTCGATGATGTCAATGACTATAGTCAATGGTTCCATAGGTCAAATATAGAAACCCCATCCTATTATCTGCAGACCTCCACAAAACGCCCACCTTGGGAGAGCCTTTCACATCCGCAGGTGCTACTGCATAGAGCAATGTCCCTGCAAGCACCTGTGGCACATCTGAGGACTCTGGCTAGGCTTAAATGCAGCTAAACTGAAAAAGATAGATTCAGACGTCTCAACTCCGGTCGCTCCTTTGTCGCTACAATGCTGTGCGACTGGTTTTTGTGCAGCTGGCAGTAATGTGTTTCAAAAAAAACATCCGCTGCATCCAGGTCTATCAGTCAGGGCACCACCAGAGCGCCCAGCCACAAAGACTTGGACGGCAGCTCCGGGCTCAAAAGCACTGCAGATATGATGAAGGAAACCTGAGATTTGTCCGGGTTAGCTTTGACTCACTTTGACTCAACATTGACCAGGAGATCTGGTACGATCTGATGCTAAATTCAAGAACATATTACTTTCATGATTTTACAAGTCTCTAGAAAAAGGCTGGATCTATCTGCAGGAATTAATGCGTCTCTGCAAGCAGAGAAGATCTGCCAGCAGGTTTGGAATGCCTCATAGTTCCATATGGCAGCAAATTGGTGCTAAGACACAAAGCGCTGGAAAGTAAGGACGAGGTTCGCGGTGAGAGCCTGTGTTCTGAAGACAGGTCAATTGAATCGGTAAAATGATATAGTCATAGTCACAACAAGAATCATTACCATGAATGCAAAAGCAACAAATGGATTCCATTTTCGGACTCTACAGTATACTGACTATATCTTGCACGTGAACATCAGAAGTGAGTTGGTGAAACAAACAGCCATCCAGGTTGACTCAGGTTGACATTCTCAATCTCAAGCATGTTTTGTTTAAGTCAAAGTCTTATGATCACCATTTGATCACCATTTGATCACCATTTGATCACCATTTTCCCTATCAGTTGCGGCATTTTCAGACGCGCCCAGTTCACCAAGTCACGGATGTTCGCTCGATCAAAAGTGTGATGCCAACGCGCGTCACATAGTCCATGACCTGAACTAAAAAGATCTGGGCGCGCCTGAAATTGGAGTATAGCACTCAAATACCTATGTAAATCTAGGGAAAATGATGCGAACAATATAGAATCACTATAATCCATTGGAATTGTGAGTATCCCATTTTCACCTACCCTAAGGCTGGATCTTTTCAAGACTTGCAGTCCCTCAAAGTCCCTGGGAACCCCTGGGAGTCCCTCCCACTTCGCAAAGGGCGCGGCTGTATTCAATGCCAGCAGCACCCATGGTCCCGGCCATCCAAACATGATTTCGCCTGAGCCCAAAAAAAACATTAAAAGGGGCACCAGGAAGAATCAAGCTATGGACTTGGCAAACAACTAATATTAATTAATATTAACTAATCATGTATAACCAGTGCACAATTGGATCAACTGGTATCATTTTGCAGAAACTGATGTTGCAAGTGTCAAATGCAGATGGGAGACAGTATTCAAATGCAGAGAATACTCACGTATCTCACTTGTATCATGCAAAACACCTCTGTCCCAAACAATCACAGCTATCCCCAATGGTCGATGACGAACCATCGCTTCGCGCCTGCGAACCACTGGCGGCTGTGTGTTGAAATGCTTTTGTATTGGAGCAGAACTGCCGGCAAGCCCAAGAGGCTGCGAAAGAAGAGCAGCTCCTAAATGGAGAATTCATTGTGTGGAAACATGTGTACGTTTATGTATTTTATATATATATCATATGGCAAGGATGAGAGGGAAACTGGCGGAACAATGGGCAGGGCACCAAATCCCAAACCATGACGAACCTGACCCCAACAACAAAAATCTACCAACCTCACTAATCCAAGGATGCATGTGCTTGAACATTTCACACAGCAAGACTCGAAGTTATGAAACCATATCATATATATATCATATATATAGCATATATATATCCTATATATATGTATATAGCATATATATATATCATATATATATCATATATCATATATATATATATCATATATAGCATATATATATCATATATATATATGATATATATATATATGATATATATATATATGATATATATATATATATATGATATATATGATATATATATCATACATATATATATATATCATATATATATATATAATGATATATATATATATCATACATATCTATATATATATCATATATATATATCTCATACTGTATATATATATATCATATATCACTAATACAACACCTGATGTAAGTATATATATATATACGTATATACATTATGTGTATATAATATTGTACTGTATATTGTATATACGAAGTTTATGAACATCTCGGAAGCTTGACCTCAACAGCTTCAAGAGTCAAAGCACGAAACAAAAGATCTGACAGTCCCGTGGCTGTCCACTGCACCCACTCCTCAACCGGCACTGTCCGTGTGCGTGAGAGCTGTTCCTGAGATCAAATGCATCGTGGATTATGATAGATCTGGGTAGTATAATCCCCGAACAAATCATCAACCATCAGCCTCTACTCATTTGACAAGGACATCTTGTAGAGTTGAACAGCGTGCAGTGTTGCAGCACAGGCCTGGACAAGTCCGCCAGCTGCACGGCTAAGAAGAGCGCCAGCCAGCAAGATGATCCCTGCGGCGCAAATGTGGACCGCGTAGAAATGACTGGTCTGTGGATAATAGAAAATGAGAAAAGACCTAGGGAGATAATGGATTTAACCAACAACTAATGGGAATATCATGGGATATGATATAATGAAAGACCTTCAAAGACATATTCCAAGACCTTCGGTATGGGCATGAGCTTAAGGGCACAGCGTGTTTTGCTTCGCATTGTGCTGTATCACGGACCATAAGGGATTCATCGACAAGCAGCAGTGAGCCATATATTTTCAAATATCCAGTGTTCTCTAAGGAATTCTTTGTTTCAATTCATCATGAAATTGCAGGATTGGGCCTGCTTGGGTGGACCTACTCATTCCACTAGTTAGTACGCTTCAATGCAGCATTGCGCTGATTGCTTTGTCTCAGCACTGAAACTTGTGGCTGGCAAGTATTTTGAACCAGCCATTGGCATCAAACATTTAGTCCAGCATCCTTTGTTTTCAAAGCCTCCACCGGCCCACTTTGTATTGTGATCTCCAATGTTTCCGACCTCCCACCTATTCCCACCTGCTGAAGCCCAACCTTTTTTCACATGCCTTGTCCTGCCTTGTCTGCTCTTTTCATCTCTTTTCACTCCCTCTGTACTTTGGCGGCTTTATCGCAGACTTGTGCAGGTCCAAAAGGTGGACACGAAATCGTGGTATTGTCTGTACTTTGCTTGGAACGCATTTGAGCTTCGAAGCATGGTCCCTTTTGCAGTAGGCAGCAGCCCCATGTTGCCGTTTGAGTGATGGACAAGAATTTGGCAGGGCGACCGTTTGAGCATGCTATGCCGTGTTGTCCCAAAGGCCAAAGATTGCCTTCCAAGAATCTCAAGAAAAGGTCTATACGCAAAACTATCGCTGAGGGCAGAGGTGAAACCGAGTAAATTCTACAAAGTCTATACGGTCTTTTCCACCCTGTTCAATTGAACCATATTTTTTTCAAGCCCTGCCTAGTACGCAGCTGTGCCCATTCTCGGTCGTATTGTCACCAACAGCTCCCGCCAACGACACAAGAATGAGTCCTCAGCGAGCTTTCAGAACCGCTTTTCCCCTGGAAAATCCGTGTAGAATGTGATTCGGCGGTTGAACACCGTGAACATCACGAGAGGCATCTGGAGAACTCTGGTTCAATGAGTCTTTATTTCGTGCTCGTGATCTGTCTCCAATATCACGTACAAACATGATGCTGACACAGTGTGATTTTGTCATCTGCAATCATTGTGAGAAAAGAACTTTAAATCAATACCTTTAAATTCATGAAAACAGTCTGATCTCCTGAAGGAATGTTCAATAGATTTTGACATCATATCTGGGAGTGTTTGCAATTCCAACCAGATTATTGTTTCATTTGTGTCTGCTTTCATCACGCAAACATACTGATATCAAAATGACATTATTGTTCTTTCTGAAAGTCACAACCCCTGCATCCACAGAAAAAATAGAAAGAACACCTAGGTGTCTGAGAGGTAGGGCCACCTACTACAAGAAATATCAAAACTGAATGGATAAAACCGAATGAAGTGAAGTCACAACACATTTGTATACTAAGTAGACCACAAAGAAAGAAGACGCACCCGTCTTTTTCTGTGAAATGTAAAGCGACCAAGAGTCCAAGAGAGAGGAGCACCACAGCAACGAGCTGCTGCAGGCCATATTGACGATGCAGCAACAGCTTCCCAAGAAAGACATTGGCAAGCAAATTGCCATTCCTAGGACTCGTGCTTGGGGGTGCATCCCACTTAGTAAATGGGTACCCCTAATTCTATACGGAAAATCCCCACATGTATGGGATTGTATGGGTTATATGTGGATTGTAAACCACGGATCCTAAGTGGCACATCCAAGTGCCATTCCTACACCGCCTCTGGGCCATGCCAAATTGACAGCCGTGCGGACGCCGGGCACAGCCAAGGGACTTGATGGTGATCAACACGAGCGTCGGGAGCTGTGTGCCCAAGGCGATGTTCTGCAGCTGCGTATAGCCCACTGAGCCTGCCGCAACGTCAGATCTGAGTCTGAAAATGGAGCTATACCATGGTACAATTTGTATACCTCAAAATGACCATTTTGATGAACATTGATTAACCATGATTAACCATCAAATAGTTGGGGGCCCTATTTTATCTATTTTCAGACAAACCAATTTCACGTCCCAAGTTTCTGCCTGCGGCAAGACAGATGTGCCACTGAAGCGGCAACTGCCGTGATCTGAAAGCGCTACGAAGCGTGACCACGAGGCCAAAGATGTGTTCAGCCAAGCCTGAGAGCATGGACAAGAACTGCATTGATTGTAAGATGATCGTAAGATGATTGTATGATGTAGAAGTAGAAGTACAGCAGGAGTACATAGTACAATTTAGTACAATTTAGTACAATTAGTACAAGCAGATGGGAGTTCAGAAAACCAAAAGAAATCGATCAAAAAAGAAAAGCAACCGAGCCAAAGCTGAGAGGGACAAAATCTCAGCTGCAGATGCCTTGTGAAAGTGTCAGGAATATTCAGGAATCATGTTTCAGAGTGTTTCAGTCCGTCCCGCCATGAGTCTTGATTTCACCTGGATGCCTGCACGTCAAGACGCGTAGAAGCCCCTGCCCAAAGCCCCTCTGCCGAGGGAAAGGTTAGTGCAGCTGGTGCAGCAAAGGGACTGATCAAGTGCGCGCAACCTTTGTCCTGACAATTCTGGATCAAGTGGTGCAAGGTATGGCACTGTCGTTGCGGAGCAGCAGTCGAACCCATTTTGTCTTGAAGTTGAAACCGTTTCTGGAAAGAGCCATGCGACTCCACAAATGGGTGCATACCGAACATTTAAAGAGCCGCAAACTAATGTCATGTGTCTTCATTCCTCATCTAGCTGGACTTGGACCTGATATATGACTCAGTATCTCAAAATCACTTCACAACTGCCATATCAATTCAAAGACTCAACAGTGCCTGCCTTCGTGTTCAACACTTCATAGGGCGCTTGGCAGGAACAGCCGCAGGCAATGCACAGGAATACCAGCAAGCCTCGAACAATGGCTGCAACGACGAATTCAAAAGGGTCCAAAGGACCCCACAGAGATGCAAAAAGGTCCAGGTGTAACGGTCCAAAAGACATGCCTTAGGCACCTCAGTAGGAGTTACATGTCTCAAATTGGAGAAATCAGAGCAGGTTTCTTCGCCAAGAGGTTCATGTCTATCACGTTGAAGTTCTCACATACATTGCACTTGGAAGTTTCTGTTCAACATCCTACAGAACGAAATGTGCTTCCCTGCTCGCACGCGTCAAGTATGTCGAGTGACCAAGCACTGCCATCCTTTGGTCACTGCATTTCTTTTCCTCCTGGGGTGGAAAGCTACAAGTGCGAGCCGCCAGAGGTCAGTATAGATCCATGGTGGAAAAGGATGTTGCATGATTGCAATTAATTTATGGCATCACTTTATACCGCTACAAATCGTTGGTTTGGAAATTGGGATAGATTCATAAATTTGATGGTATTAGTCTACGCTCTCCAAGTGTTGCACTCTCCGAAAGCAACTAACATGGAGTGTGCTGCAACTTGCACTTGCTTGGCTCACCTATTGCAAAATCAAATGCTCTTGGTCTCAAAACTGCTGCCTTTTGAGGGTCATGGCTCTGGCTTGTTTGATAGAAGGCCTTCGGTTCCACACGTAGCTACAGGATTTTCCGACAGCATGTTGTCTCTGCTTAGTGGACTGCGGGCCCTCGCCTCTGGCAACGGCAGCTTTGTGACAGCTTCCCCTGCAAGTTTTTGGTTGGGTTTGAAAATCGGACTTGAATATGATTGAATCTAAGTACACAAGCCTGGCAGAATCCCAACCTCTGGTCTGCAATTGGGCACCTAAGAGACCTTCAATTGTACTAGTTCCCAAAGGTGAGCTAAACTTGTGGTCGGACGGACCAACACTCGTCTCGTGCCAACCTGTGTCAGACGTGGGACTTGGGCAGCTCAGAAGCTCCAGATCCTCACATTCCTCGTTTCCGTCAGTGGTACTGTCCTGTGACAAGAGCTGGAAGTGTCACTGATGCCACATGCTGCCACATCAAGCACGAAACGACTTCTTCACTGACCATTTGGAGCAGAAAAGACCAAAAAAACATACAAGGATCAAATGGTGAGCAGATGGTGTACAAATGGGTATTCTCTATCTCGTATAGAAAGGACGATTTGAACGGACTACAAATGACTATTGTTTGCCTCTTGACAACATTCTGCACGCCTCATCCGCTGTGTCAATGGTGGAGTCCGTCTCATTGCGCGTACGGCCACACACTGCCACCAGCTTTGCCTCCAAGGCTCCATGAAAGTCATTTGCTAACCCCGTGGCGGCTTGTCCCAAAATCTTCCGAATCCAAAACTTTTTACTTCACAGTGGTCACAGCAACATATCAACTCTACCAGCTAGTCACATCCAATCAACTATGACCCCCAGCTTCCAGCCTCGGGGTCCAAAGACTCAGACCTGACGATGGCTTTCTTATATGGCTTCAATGCTTTGTTTTCATGCGTTTTATCTGTAGGAGCCACACTATTCTGACTGTGGAGGAAACCTGTAACCAAATTTGCTTTGTGGGAAGTTGTTTCTTCCTACTTCCCTTCTTTTTACTCTGTTGAAATCAAACCTTGCACATGTTGCGCGTATAAAATCAATGAGTAGCACCGGCGGGCCTTGGTTCGCTGGGTCCTTCAATGTGGTGCGTAGCTGTCAGGCAGCCTGCAGTGTTTTGTCTTTCGCATCTCTTCAAAGCTGAAGTTTTTTCGGGAGCTCCCCTTCCCATCGTTGTCATCCGCTCAAAACATCCTTTTGCTGAGTCACACGATGGTTTCATGCTTGCCAAAGTCATGGATGCATCTTCGCGCATGGGATTGAACTCCTCTGGCGAGCTATTTGCGCCAAAGGAAAAAGCTGTTCTCCTTTCTGCTCGAATGTCCGCATGTCCGAAAAGGCTAGACGGCTGGACGTCTTGTATATGTTGCCAGGCATACCATAAAAAATGCTATTTTTGTTTCAATATTTTTTTTATATGCATTTCAGTTTTCCACTGGATATTGAGAGATACATCTTGCTACTTTGCCAGGGGACTTTCATCCTTGCAATGGCTAATCAGCTTGATCCAATGGAAGCAAAGCTTGCACATCAATGTGATTGAGGCAAGGAGATGTTCGTGTCTTCAAACAAAACGGAAGCATTATAGAGGTCTTTCACTTTGCTGAGAGTATGTTCGATGTAATCTCAAGAAAATCTTCAGAAACCCCTGCAAAGAACGGGGAAATTCCTGACACCCAGCTGTAGGAAGTTCGATCCCTTTCTCACATCTTGTATAAGATGTTCCCCTACTATCTCTCCACTGATCATGCACTTTAGACTTTATACTCTACGGAGGACCAGGATCCAGCTCACTTTCACCTGAATGCCTCTAGTAACCATCTTCTAATGTCAACCTCGGACTAATAAACCCGGACTATTAGTTGTGTGATACCCCTGAAATAGAGATAGATTAGATTGCTCCTAAAATTGGTACCCCAAATAAAAATCGACTCGGGGTTTATCAAAACTGTGGGTTAACATTAACCATGTAGTAACCATCTAGTCCTCTAGCACCCATGCGGCCATGCAGCCCCCGGCCAAGGTTGGCACGTTCATTGCCAAGGCCTGACTCCAACAGCTGCATCAAGGCCTTGGCAATCTTGGAATCGAGCACTGCGTTCTGCACAATGAGCAGCTGAATTGGATTTCATCAAGACACCTTTGGTGGATTCTTCTCATTTTCTGTGCCCTTGAAATCCCTGGACCATTCCAGCTTCGAATCGAAGTTTTTCTTTCCACCATGATGCGTTCCGTGGAATCCAAGTGCTGCATCTCAAAAAAAAGCAGAGGGCCAGGCATCGAAGCAACCCTGCCTGGGTCCCAAATGTTTTCAGTCCAAAAGTCAACAAAAAAACCATCAAGTGCAGATAAGTGCAGCTGCTCTCTTCTGCTGAGCTCCAAGCTTTTCATACTGGGAGATGACCTCTTCGAGATGATCGGGATGAACCTCAGATCGCACAAGCCCGGGCAGCCCGTTGTATTTGTCATAGGATTCATAGCTACACATGGACTCGGTGAGAGGATCCAAGCACCCTGCAATGATGTGCTGGCCGGCAATCTCTGCGCCTTGGGTAGCTTATCTTCAATATTGCGAAGAAGTCAAGCTTTGCCAAGATTCTTAGCTGGTGCTGTTCATTGCTACATTTCAATACAAATGGATCTGAAAAAGCTGAAATGCATTAATTAATTAACCATGTAATTTTTACGCATCCATAATAATATGTGAATAATCCATGTGTTTTTTTTATTAATCAATTGTGGAAACAATCCATGCATCTGCGATCGATGAACATCCAGGACTGCAGGACCAGCATCATCCAAGAGCCAAACAGCGGAATTGTTCAGCCTTCACACAGGCCAAGTTCACCTGCACGACACGTCGAAGTTCCAAGCAGAGGCAACAACAGAGAAACAGTGAAACTGAAAAAAACCTGAACCCAAAGAAGATCTGGATTCCCAAAAGCCATCATTCCATGAAACACCGGTTGGTTAAGAAGGGGACTAAACATCTAAAAACATCATCCCTTTCCGCCTTCAGTTTTTTCCCCCATATCAACCATGGTCATTTGAGTAGAAAGTGGCTCTGTCTGAACATAGTCCAATTCATCCCATTGGTTTTACCATCATTCTCCCCCCCAAAAAAAATGTTGGCCATTTTTGGGGTGTCCCATGGTGTCCCCCATTTTCACACCCAGAGGATGAAACCACCGCGGCAAGTTGGCCTCCTGCCAGGTCTTTGGATTGTTGGCCTTCTTCGCTGCCTCCACCGCCTGGCCGCTCGAGTCAGGCAGTTTACCAGGAAGGTTTTAACCCCATCCATTGAGGACAATGGTATCCCCATGGTGGATTTGATGGCGGGGAAATCCCTTGATTTTTGGGAAGTGGTGACAGGGATGCCTGCGTGTACTCTCCGAGCTGCACGTGGCCTCAGCACTGGAAAGAAGGACTGGCACCCGGTGTTCAGAATGTACCCAATAAAACACAACTGACATTCTAGGCCGGAATCATGCAAATGAAAAGTGTATACATACAGACATACAAACATACATACATACATGCACATATATACTCTGTATGTGGATGTATGTGTATCTATTATATATATACACATATCATGTACTTTTGTTCATATCTATGTTAATGTATATTATATATATATATATATGTCTATGTATTATCATTATTACTATTATTTTTGTTATTATTATTATGTATATATATATACACACACATATACATGCGTATATAGTGTATATATATATACACGGCCAGGACGGGGGGTGCTGCCCGGGGAAGTTTGTTTTGACTGCGCAGGGCCAGTGTTTTATGCATTTTGGGATGTCGTCGGATTGCCCGGCTAGCGAGATTTGTTTCCAAAACACAAAACCATGAACCCTAAACCCTAAAACCTAAATCTGACATAACACCCGAAGTAAGCCTTGAAAGTAAAATCTTATTAAAAACATTGTTAAAAAATATAAAATAAAATAAAAACCCTGAATGAAACCCTCAACAAACCCTAAGCAAACCCTAAACAAACCCTAAAGAGTTGGTCACATAATAAACCGATAAACCTCTGGGGGGCACCCCTGGCCTGGGGGCATCTATACACTCACATCGTGCAACAATGTGTACCTTCTGATTCTTTACAACACTGCCAAACTTCTCCCTGACAAAGGAATGCAAAGCCAACCATTTTTCCCTGCGTCTGAGGCAGATACAGGAGGCCAAGCGCCCATTGTTCGGGATGGAGGCGTACAAAATCTTCGCAGCCTCCAAAGTTCACAACTCAACCGCCAAATCCCTTCCCTTGTCGCAGGAGAAAATGAAACTCGAGGCCCTATGCTCCGCACGAATGTGCATGGATGCCTCTATGCTGGATGCTCTCTGCGAGTATGAACATGCTTCCGGTAACAACTCTCAATGGCGGGTCAGCCCTCTAGCCCCCAGCAAGTATTATTATTATTATGGTTAATTAGGAACCCAAGGCATGCTCGCCCTGAATATATCTATAACTGTCTATGTGGTATGTGGCAGTATGCTCTGCGCAGCAGATCTCAGTAGCATACTTTCCACGAGGTCACTGGGCAGAAGTGCTCTCTGTGTCTGTGGGATGTGAGGCTAATGCATGTGTATATACAGTGTATGTATGTGTATACATATATATATATATACATACATACATACATACATATTTATATACATATATATGTAGAAATGGGCATACAAATGTACAAGTATATTCTGTGCAAGCTTGATGTAATTACCAGGAAAGATATGTAAAGATAAGCTTTGTGAAATGCATGCGAATCAATCTAATCAGTGCTATGTGGATATGTGTGTGTGTCTCTTTTTCCTTCAGATACTGGGAGAACAGCCTTGTAGAACTTCTCATCATAGAGGCGATCGCCAACTGCCTGGATGTTGGCCTGGGTCCGAGTCGATCGACTCCCAGAGCCAAAATCTCCAACTGAAAAATCATCTGAACTGAACATGGGAATACCCCAATAGCTGGATGGTAATGGAAAATCCCCAGTAGAATGGATGATTTAGGGGTAGCCCTATTTCAGGAAACCTGTTGCAAGTGAGGCACTGTGTTGGTTCCGCTAATGAACTCCTCCATGTCGCTCTGGGCCGGGCCGGTCGATCGGGAATGAGTTCGCTTTCCAACTGGGGGCTTCGGCAACTGCGACGCAAACTGAGAATTGGACCAGGCGCTCAGTCTTGGCATAGGCATACACGAGCTCACCTCGGGGACCAACTGAAGTCATTTCAGGTACTTTATTGAAGGTACCACATTATATATACCCATATACATAATATACATATATATATATATGTGTGTGTGTGTATGTATTGTATAATATCCATATAAAAAGGCCAAAATTTCAGGGGAGACCCAAACTATGGCTTTGGTACAGTACATTTCTTCGTCCAAGAGGCCATCAATCTGCGAATCCTTCACCTTGGTTCGTGCCATCGTGAGGTATCGCACCAGCCTCAGCGGCTGATGGGGGGAATTACCCCATTTTGATGGGCAAATTCGACAACAATACCCTAAAGCATCCTAAACCCCATGGAAAACCAATGTCAGAATGATCCATATTTAGGATGATTTGGTGGGTACCCTGTTTTAGGAAGCACCCACATGAGCTAGAGGAATTTGCAAGGAGATCTTGCTGAAAATTCACGACTGGTTGGTTTCTGAGTCACAAACTCTTCATAATTCTCTTCACGTTCGGCTGCCTGCACTGGCAACTCTGGCCGGCGGTGCTTTCAACAAATGCAGCCCTGGTTTCCACCAATTTCACATACGAAAACGTTCATCAGCTCGGAAACTATAGTTATTCATGGGTATTCTGTATATATATATATCATACATACCTGATTATATATATATATGTGCATCGAAAACCTGCTTGATTGCACAACAGAGACACTTCTTCAAGTTTGAAATCTGTACACCCGAGGTGTCCGAGGTGTCTGTGAGCTCTGACTTTTCTCTGTTTCGCTGGTCTGGTGACGGGATGGCCCCAGGGCAACTAGGTCAGACTAGGTCACACTAGGTGACTCTAGGTGACTCCCCGTTCACTGTACACTAATAGACTAAAATTATCTAAAAATCAGGGTGCTGTATTCACTCCTCCTTGAAGCTCTCAGCGACACGAGCATATCCTGTCGACTTGAAAAGGCCGCAAAAGCTGCGAGGTGTTGCCGGTTGCCGGTTGTCTTTTCAAAATTCATGGGCAGCACGGATCAACCCTTCCAGCCCTTCCAGCATCTTACATACATTCTGGCACTTTTGAACCTGCCTGGAAAATGGGAAAATGCAAACATCGGAACCTTTGATCTTGCACAATACATTCCACAGTGGGCAATGCAAGCCAAGATTCTTCCACCGCGAACAAGCTCATAGTTTCTTTTCCTTCACTAAAGGCTCTGGCGATCCAATAACAGTCACATTGCAAGTGGTTGCGCAACCGCTGAGATGCTGAATCGCTCAGCAAAAAATGTATCGACTCGTAGTTTCAGTGTCCGGACGATCAAAGATTTCAATGTCACAAGCCATTCTCAAGAAATCGGTTGTGACTGTGCACCATGCAAAAGCTTCAATCGTAAACCAGCTTTGCAACCCAACAGCAGGTTACAGGGTTCCAGGGTTGCAGGGTACCATTCTTTTTTTTTGGGCCGGGCAAAAAACGACGCCCTGTTGCGAACTAGCCCCAGACACTCTAGAGTACTCTAGAGTCCAGAAAATGTCGAATGTCATGGCTCCTCCAGAACTCATTTGGTAGCTCTCCAGTTGGCTCACCATGGGCCAAGTACTCACCTTCATCATCTACCAACACGAATTTCTTGAAGACCTAAGGTCCAAAAGGTGCTCGAACAAATCGCAAATACTTTTTGAACAGTTTCATAAAGGCCAGAAATATTCTACAACCTGCGCGAAAGGGAACCGCCGTTCCACAATTGCCCCCAGCAACTAAGGTCTCCGCAGGTGGACACCACACCAGCTTGAAGGCCACCCTCGCGTTGCTACAGATGGTTCTGGGATGTTCTGGGTCAGTTCAACCACCTTGGCACCTTGTGGCAATATGATATGTGTTGAATAGAGGTGTTGATCCATCTCCAGATACCAAGTCCGCAAGTCATCAGATTTAAGTTGCATGCTACCAAGCGAATTTTTATTGATCATGAAAAGGTGGCAAAGGCTGTTCTTTGCAGTAGAAACATAACACATCATGACCCAAACATTTCGGAGAAACCAATCTCACTAGCGATCTTTGCAATGAATTGACGTTTCAAGAACGTATGCAGTATAACGGTATAACGTTAACCCAGGATCAATAAACATAATAAACCCGCAGTTTATTCATAGGGTGGCACTAATCTTAATAGGAATTTCATGGATTTGCTGTCTATTTTGCGGGGCAACCCCCTGCCTGGATCGAAACTGGACATGTGCAACATCCTGCGGTGGCTCAAAGTTGCAGCCATTGATGCCTCGAAGAGAAGACAGGTGAGCAGTGGCTGCCACGCCCAAAGGCCATCATTCCATGAAATACTGCTTGATTTATCTTGATTTATGGGAATTGTTCCATATGATATTGGTTGGTCAAGGGGATTTCTACCATAGTGAATGATAATTCCCTATATATAGGATAGAATAAGCCCCGAACGAGTCCTCAACCAACCGCGGTAGACCACAGTAACTGCTCCAGGTGAAGACAGCGAACAAAAACTCATCGGACTTGGCATCCCAGCAAGTGCTCCAGGAACCCCCCGGGCCCAATTCGGGCAAAGAAGCCACCTGCCAATCATCGCATTGTGGCTTTTGCTTTCCGAAGCAGAACCAAAGAGATGCAACAGGGTGAAAACGATCGGGATAAAAATCAGTGACAAAGTAGAGCTGCTCAGAATAGTTCCGAAATTCGGAGAACAAAACCCGTCTGAGTCTTGAAGAAAGCCCGAGATGGTCCATGCGAGGCCGAATGAGATCGCTCCAGACCCCTACCCATTGATGACCTGGATTCCTGGCCCAAGAAGGTTGCCAGTAGCAATGCCCTCAATGTTGCCATCCTTGGCGCTGTGCTTTCAGCATTAGAGGCTTGGAAAGGCAGGACATGAACCACTGCCGTGGCTGAGGCTGACACGTTCTGGTTGTGAGAAACTTCACCTTGAAAGGAAGGATGCGTGCAAAGGCCGAACCTCCAAACGGTACATTTCCATACATTTCCATACATTTCCATACATTTCCATACATTTCCATGTACAGCAAGGCCAATTACACCTCGTAACACTGCCAAAGCATCTGGATTCATGACTCCTTTAAAATAGACTGAATTTGAATAGGTCAAGCTCAGTGGAATGGCCCCAGAAAGTCGCCCCTCCATTGCTGCTAAGCATCCAAGCATGGCTGTGAGATCGCAATGCGTGTCATCATTGAAGGAATGCCTTGTAGCGCCAGCCGTGTCTCTAGGTTTTGTCCAATAAATCGTTGAATGTTCAACAGCGTTCAGACTGGCCTGTAGGATACGACTGCACATGTATGGAGCAAAAAAATATACACATGGATCCAAGTAAATCAAGTCCTCCGCATAACTTGGTCAAGCATAGAGTCAAGTGTAGCACATGTCCATACATGGGTCAAAACCTATACGATTAATTTCGATTACCATAATTGGGGGTTGATTCACATCCATTAACAAGATATTAACAGGCTATTTCCATCCATTTCCAATGATTCTCACCCCATGTTCGACTGCAATCGCTATGTCCATTCGATCGCCAAGGAACGCAGTGCAGCCTTGGCCCGGTGGGACATCTGGTAAGTCTCGAAGTCCACCAGCCCATAGCAAACGACGGCGTACCTCCTGAAGGGCACTTTAATTTTCATGAGGATTTCATGGTGATGTCATGGGATTTTACGGGATTTAATGATGATGTCATGGAATTTTCATGGGATTTCATGGTGACTTCATGGGATTTCATGGCATCTTATGGGATCTAACGGTGATTTCAGGTGATTTCACGGTGGCCGGTGACCTGAGAATAGCAACCCAAAGACTATTCTCAGCATTTCGCAGCAGGGGTGACGGGGTGACTGTCTATGGCAAAATTGTGCTGTCAGGTCCTGCCAATCGCCACTGAGCTCCTCTTTGCTCAAAGTCTTCACGCGGAGATGGATTCCCTGCAAACGCTCCACAGCAGTGCCAGGATACTGAGGATCCACCTGCGCACAAGTCACGGTCACAAGGGGCTGCACTTTGATCCATTGATGGTCCCCTGGTCTTCACGGTGATAGTGCATAGATTCATAGATGCGAATGGCAGGAGTACATGTGAATGGTAGGAATGATAAGAATGGTAAGAATGAACACCACTTCAGTAAAATTGCAGCCTTCAGTAGCACAGTCGAGGGGAAGAGCACAGCGCAAAGAGCAAGAAGCGCAACCTAGGGTTGATCAAAAAGGTGAATCTCACCTGGAAAAGAAGCGTGTAAAATACTTACTCTCGACCTTTAAACAGGCTTTTGAAACACTGCCTTTTTGATCAACCCCAAGCACGCCAAAGCAAAACTGATACCTATCTTTGAAAGGCAAATGAAGAACATCTTCACAATACAAAGCGTAGGTTGTTTTCAGGTCACTTTGTTGCCAAACACGTGTTGCTCACCGGCATTATTGACAAATCCCTCTTGGAAATCAGATTTGTGGTGAGCTCGTACAGGTCGTAAGCGGAGGCGAAGCAACAGAGCTCCGATCTGAGTTCCTTGTTCAAAGCCCATTCCAACATGCCATATCCATTACCGTCATATTTGTGCAACCATTTATATATTCAGATATCCGATGCTTGGCTAACTTGCTTGGATCTCAACTGCTTGGCTCGTTTGGGCGCATTCAGCTCCAGCAGCAAAAGCTTTAATCAAAATATGTTTCAGACGCGTTTAAAAGGTCTTGGAAAGTTCGATTAGAAAGATATAGGTGTGCAGGGATGGGTCAAAACCCTTTCCCCTGGTGAACATCAAAATAGTTGGTGAATGGATGGTCGTCCTCCTACAAATGGTACTTGTAGGAATTTGCAGGTATTGATCCATAGCCGCCATAGCCATGTTTTCAATTGTTTTCAATCTCCATCCCTGCCTGGATGCTCAAACATCGCCGGTGGGCGAGTTGGGCGCCACGTGGCAAGATACTTCGCAGGGGCACAGCGACCCGGGCGACCCGGGCGACCCGGTGACAGCGCAGCGAAGATAAAGCCATGGCCATGACGCCTTTGAGGTGGAAAATAAGTGAGAGGAGAGACAGGATCTTGTGCCAAAGTATTCACCCAATACAGTATGGCCAGTATAGCCTAGCTACTTACTTGTGTTTTGCGCTTCGAAAAGAGCTACTTCTAGCCTGCATCTCTCTTGATGATTTGACATGTTTTGACACAGTGATTGTTTCTGTCCTTCTGATGCATAAACAAAATAAATGTGCGTACCAAAGACAAAGAATACCATAAAATACACATCAACATTGTTCTTTTCACTTGAGCCAAGGACGTATGGCAATGACGAAGTGACTTCTCAGCCAGCTAAAACTTGACAACACGGCAGCTGGCAAGTGTGTCCCAATCAGCAACATTTGGAACCACATGCTTGCTGACTGTGTCAGTGTTTTAGAGGCACCTCTCTTCGATTTCCCTTTGGTGGATCATCATATCATATCTTCATATAATTTCATACTGACAACAGACATCAGGAGACAGCAGACACTGCCTGGATGACTTCGAGATAATCAGTGGCATCCTCGGACTTCAGGTAGGAGTCGACTGACTCAGGCACCTGCAGGACCATGGCATCCATGGCATCCATGGCATCCATGGCATCCATGGCATCCATGGCATCCATGGCATCCATGGCGTCACAGGGGCGCAACGGCAGATGTCAAACCAAGCGCCGGACACTGCCGTTCTCCAGCTGTGCCTTGCCCAGCTTGTACCAGACCTGCCAGAAACCCAGGAGGGTCAGGGCGATCAGGGCAATCAGGGCGATCACCAATAGGCCACCCGTGCCCCGGCCGTCTTGTCGTTGATGCGTGCGGCGAACTCCTGTGCCCTCTCCAGCGAGTTGATGTTCTCCAGCAACACACTCAGTAGCATTGTCTTGCGGGCTCCGTTTGGGAAGTTCAGAGTCTGCACTAAAACTTCTACATCTGCAAAAAGAAAGACTGTCCATACATGCCAATGTCTTGAATCTTGAAGGTATCGACAAATTTGTCGGTGTTTCATGTCCATGTTGTTTCCCTTTTAGATTGCCCAATGACATCCAGTGACCCTATAGCCAGCCTATTCCCACAAGAAAGCGTTGAGATCGTCACTCCATGGCTTCTGCATTCTGCCCACACTTCTTGTAGATGAGAAATGCCTACATCAAGCATGCATTTGGGCACAATCATCACATCTGCAGACCTACAAGTAATATTTTTTTGGAAATCTGTACCATACTGCGGATGGCTGCGAAATCCAAATCACCAGTTGGTACATGATTTATCCCATTATAATCCCGTTATAATGCCATTATTTCCAGTGTTTCATAGGAATCTCAATAGTTTCCAACTGGACCAGTTGCGTGCCTCCTCATAGAGGCCATAAGGATCGCCCAGGGCCTTACAGAAGACCACTTCGGAGAATTAAGAACAACAACCAGTCTTTTCTTTTCATTCTGTGTTGTATACAGGTATACATTTATGATCATTTACATGGTTATCATGTATGTGTGCGTATTTATATGCATATATAATATGTGTATGTATATATATATATATATATGTGTGCGTATTCTGTATCATATACTATGTATTACTATGTCATATACTGTATCTCATCTACATGTATCTGCAGATGCAGCACCCTGTATCCCATACTGTACACGGATTGCGGTACATTGATCTCGGTCCCAGACGATCTTGGCAATCTCTGGACCATCGTAGTTGTCCAGGCGGTTGATGTAGTCCATGACACGTGCCCTGTCCACGAATTCTTGGAACTGGGGGTTTCCAAAAATGGGGGATCCCTAAAATGGATGGTTTATAATGGAAAATCCTATTAAAATGGATGATTTGAAGGTACCCCCATTTCAGGAAACCTCCAACTACTCTGACAAGGACAGGCGGCTCCTGGAGGTGAGTCAGTAGTAATTTGGAGGGGAGCTGAATGAAGAAAAGTCCGCCCACAAACTCCAAACGTCACCGCGAACTGGAGACCTTCTTGGACCGTGTTCACTGAAACAATAAAGTGGACGCAGGAAACGGGCAATTCACTTGGAGGATTGTTGCCCAATCGTTGCAAGTTCCAAGTTGTTTTCCACTGAAATCCACCAACATCTTAGGGCCGGGCTTGTCAGCTTTGATTGCCGTAAGGACCAGCAGGTTCTGCAAGTTCCTGTTCTTGCCTCAGAAGCTGTGGTCAGAAGCGTAGCGGCGCAGAGTCTAGCTGGAGCCATGGGTCATCCCCGCCATGCCCGCCATGCCCGCCATGCCTGCCATGCCCACTAAAGGCACTGAACAGCTGGGAACCGTGCTGAAGTCGGAGTTGTGGAGCACAATCTTCTCCAACAGCTCAATCAGTTCAGTTGGAAGATCCGCACCTGGAGCGGTTGCTGTTCCACTTTCCATTGGAACCTGGTGAGGGACACAGCTTGCAAACTGGTTTTCTTCGAGTTCCTTATCAATTATTCATATTCCTTTCAAATTCCCCACCCTTAGTCATGAGAAAATCGACTTTCTGACTCTGGGCTTTTGGCTGATGAATGCTTTGACAGTTGCAGAAACCTGGCAAGCACAGAAAAAATGTAGTATTGACAGAAATGCACCTGCGCCAAAACATGAGATTGAATCTGTTCAGGCGCAACGGTCAACTCCCTCCACTTGAACCAAGACTTCTTTTACCACTCACGATCCAAAACAAAAAAACTGTCTGATTGAACCAGCAAAACAAAAAACGCAAGTCAGCTTGAAGTCAATACGAGTCTTGTGTGTCACTCAACTCCAACCCAGAACTGTGGCAATTCAAGGGATTCTCATCACGCCCTGCATCCACCACAAGCCAATAAAACAAATGAGTAAGCAGCAAAGACTTTCAACCAATGTACAGCAGGTCAGCTTGAAGTCAGTACGAGTCTTGTGTGTCATTCAACTCACACTCAGAACTGTGGTAATTCAAGGTATCCTCATCACGCCCTGCATCCACCACAAGCCAATAAAACAAATGAGTAAGCAGCAAAGACTTTCAACCAATGTACAGCAGGTCAGCTTGAAGTCAGTACGAGTCTTGTGTGTCATTCAACTCACACTCAGAACTGTGGTAATTCAAGGTATCCACATCACGCCCTGCATCCACCACAAGCCAATGAAACAAATAAGTAAGCAGCAAAGACTTTCAACCAATGTACAGCAGGTCAGCTTGAAGTCAGTACGAGTCTTGTGTGTCATTCAACTCACACTCAGAACTGTGGTAATTTAAGGTATCCTCATCACACCCTGCATCCACTATGAGCAAGCACTAAGACTTTCAACCAACGTACAGCAGGTCAGCTTGAAGTCAGTACGAGTCTTGTGTGTCATTCAACTCACACTCAGAACTGTGGTAATTCAAGGGATTCTCATCACGCCCTGCATCTACCACAAGCCAATGAAACAAATGAGTAAGCAGCAAAGACTTTCAACCAATGTATAGCAGGTCAGCTTGAAGTCAGTACGAGTCTTGTGTGTCATTCAACTCACACTCAGAACTGTGGTATTTCAAGGTATTCTCATCACGCCCTGCATCCACCACAAGCCAATAAAACAAATAAGTAAGCGGCAAAGAATTTCAACCAACGTACAGCAGGTCAGCTTGAAGTCAGTACGAGTCTTGTGTGTCATTCAACTCACACTCAGAACTGTGGTAATTCAAGGTATCCTCATCACACCCTGCATCCACCACAAGCCAATGAAACAAATAAGTAAGCGGCAAAGACTTTCAACCAACGTACAGCAGGTCAGCTTGAAGTCAGTACGAGTCTTGTGTGTCATTCAACTCACACTCAGAACTGTGGTAATTCAAGGTATCCTCATCACATCCTGCATCCACCACAAGCCAATAAAACAAATGAGTAAGCAGCAAAGACTTTGAACCAATGTACAGCAGGTCAGCTTGAAGTCAGTACGAGTCTTGTGTGTGTCACTCATCTCAAACTCAGAACTGTGGTAATTCAAGGTATCCTCATCAGACCCTGCATCCACTATGAGCAAGCCAATGAAACAAATAAGTAAGCGGCAAAGAATTTCAACCAACGTACAGCAGGTCAGCTTGAAGTCAGTACGAGTCTTGTGTGTCATTCAACTCACACTCAGAACTGTGGTAATTCAAGGTATCCTCATCACACCCTGCATCCACCACAAGCCAATGAAACAAATAAGTAAGCGGCAAAGACTTTCAACCAACGTACAGCAGGTCAGCTTGAAGTCAGTACGAGTCTTGTGTGTCATTCAACTCACACTCAGAACTGTGGTAATTCAAGGTATCCTCATCACACCCTGCATCCACCACAAGCCAATGAAACAAATAAGTAAGCGGCAAAGACTTTCAACCAACGTACAGCAGGTCAGCTTGAAGTCAGTACGAGTCTTGTGTGTCATTCAACTCACACTCAGAACTGTGGTAATTCAAGGTATCCTCATCACATCCTGCATCCACCACAAGCCAATGAATTAAGTAAGGACGCGGCAGACTTTCAACCAACATACAGCGCGTAAACTTGAAGTCAGTACGAGTCTCGTGTGTGTCATTCAACTCACACTCAGAACTGTGGTAATTCAAGCTATCCTCATCACACACTGCATTGGCGACAGAGTCAATCAAAGCAAACATGCATTAAATATACGGGTCTGATTTTATTTTTCCTTTTTATTTCTTCTTGGATTTTCTTTTCTGTCCGTTTTCGTTGCCATTTGCGTCATTTTAGAGCTGGAAGGTTCCGTTTTAACTGTATTTGCAAGATGTTGGTGCTCTAATTGTTCGTATTGCATGGTATTCTGCGGCATTTGGAAGTTTAGGGTTTATTTGGGTTTGATTGATGTTTCTTTAGGCCTGTTTCAAGTTCTATTTAGGATTGGTTTATATAATCTCTATTTAGGGTTGGTGTAGGATATATAGGGTTGGTTTAGGATGCATTTAGGGGCTTATTTTGAGCTTGTTTGAAGATCTATTTAAGGTGTTTGGGGTTTATTTTGTCGGCTGGTATGACTTATTTAGGGGTGGTTTGGAGTTTGTTCTGGGTTGGATGGGTTTAGGGTCTATTTAGGCGTTGTTCAAAATCTATTCAGGGTTGGTCCAGGATTGGTCTATGATTTATTTAGGGTTGTTTGAGATTCCTTTAGAGGTGGTTCAGGGTTTATTTAGGGTTGTTTTGCGGTTCATTAAACTTGTTTTAGGGTTGATTCAGGGTTGGTTCAAGATTTATTTAGGGTTGGCTCGGCGTTTTTTAGTTGGTTTAAGACTTATTGATGGATTGGTTTATAGTCTATTTCACGCAAACAAGTACAGCGAATGTGTTCAACAGGTCGCTTTGTCACTTCCTTACCAAAGCGGAGAATCAGAAAAGCAGAGAAGCAGGAAACAGAAATCAAAAGAAACGAAACGGCAAGAACGGGTATCTAAAAAACACAATCAATATATATATATATATTATATATATATATTATATTATCGAAGGAAGATGAAGGAAGTTTAGAAGTCAAACTTCCGACAGTATGGACAGATGAAAAGCAGAGCAGGGCAGAGGGAGAGAGAAGAGAAAGATTAGAAGAGAGAAGATCAGAGAAGAGAAAGAGTCAGAAGAAAGAAGACGCAGATGCGCGAAAAGGTAGGAAAGTCGCGAAACACTGTGTTTTTTCCAATGATTTGTGGCTCCGGAGGGTCGAAAAGTAGGCTCGCTAAAGCGGCGGGTGCGGAGCCAGCTGGCCACAGGAGATGAAAAATTGCACGCCGTTGTGGCGCGAAGCACATTTCCAAGTCAAAATGTCCAAAACACACCAGGTTCGGACCACTTTTGGAAGTTGAGATGTCGAAAAAGTGCACTCCGTTGTGGCGCGAAGCACATTTCCAAGTCAAAAGTGTAAAAAACTGGCGGTCTCGGACCACTTTTGGAAGTTGAGATGTCGAAAAAGTGCACGCCGTTGTGGCGCGAAGCACATTTCCAAGTCAAAATGTACAAAACACACCAGGCCCGGACCACTTTTGGAAGTCAAGATGTCGAAAAAGTGCACGCCGTTGTGGCGCGAAGCACATTCTGAAGTCAAAAGTGTTAAAAACTGGCGGTCTCCGACCACGTTTGGAAGTTGAGATGTCGAAAAGTGCACGTCGTTGTGGCGCGAAACACATTTCCAAGTCACAATGTACAAAACACACCAGGTCCGGACCACTTTTGGAAGTCAAGATGTCGAAAAAGTGCACGCCGTTGTGGCGCGAAGCACATTTCCAAGTCAAAAGTGTTAAAAAACTGGCGGTCTCCGACCACGTTTGGAAGCTAGACAGAGAGACAGATGAAAGAGAGAGAGAGAGAGATAGATCGATAGATAGATAGATACATAGATAGACAGATAGACAGGTAGACAGCTAGACAGAGAGACAGATGAAAGAGAGAGAGAGAGAGATAGATCGATAGATAGATAGATAGATACATAGATAGATAGATAGATTGGTAGGTAGGTAGCTAGGTGCACCATAGATAGATAGGTAGACACACAGACAGACAGACAAACAGATAGATAGATAGATAGATAGATAGACAGGTAGACAGCTAGACAGCTAGACAGATAGACCGATGAAAGAGAGAGAGAGAGAGATAGATAGACCTGAGAAGGGGTGGAACGAAAGCCAGCGCTTGCTTTTTGACTCGCGCGGGGGCGCGTGAAACTCCACCTCATCCATATATGTCATGGCTCAAACATGAAGCGCCCCAACATCAACAATTGCTATCGGGGCATAATTTTCCAATCATTAAATGGACCTTTTTAGGGTAAACTCCACGATTTTGTAACTTCTATATCCAAATATGTTTCCTACAATGTACTGCAGCATTGTGAAAAGTTCTATCTCAAGTTCCGTAAATCCGCCTTTGGTTGCTCATTTATCTTAAAACAGCGCAAGTTTGCTCCCACCTATTGTAGATAAATAATACCCGCTTTTTTGTTTGAACAGTGGTCATGTGACCTCTCAAAGTCTAAATTGTTTTCTCCCCAGCGTGGTCCATGCTTCTCCGCGAAGTTCCGCAACATTTTGGCCGTACGGTGAGAAATCAAAACATAGCTCTACTCGCAAAATGGGCAGTGCAAACCCAAGACAATATTATAACATACGTAAGAAAGGGTATAAGAACGAATGAAAATCGAGGAAAACAATGCAAAACCCACGGGAAATATAGAACAGTGGCGAACATGCAGTCCAAATCAAAAGTATATATATTTAGGCCATTTACAGACCTGGGTACCCCCCCCCACCCCCAAGGGTCTGGAAAATAGGTATTTTACAGGAAATGTCGCGGAATAGCATCATCCCTGACATCGATAGAGATAATTGTTTGGCATCCCGGAAAATCTTCTCAGCTATCACACTCGCCAAACATCCCTTTTAAAAGGCACATATACCATCACGGACGTACAGATGCATATCATTCCCGTCATTGCCATTAGAAGATTCAAATTCTTTCTCGATGTTTTAGTACAAGATTCACTCCCAGTTCTGTTTCAGCCTTCTCAGTACGGCCTCTTACAATGATATTACAGCATTTGTCTCCTAACCTAGGTGGCTCCTGGGCGCAATCTTCATTCCAATGCTTTGTGACAATAACCAGAGGCCTGGAGTCTATGCATCACTTGACAGTCGACTCAGTTCTAAACCGGAAAGACTATTCCTTCCGTTTACCAGTAGATCGTTTTTGTAGTTCTTATCACAAAACTACCAGAATCAGGGAGGCACCATAAAACGTCAAACAGCTTTAAGCATTATAAATACTCTAATCTGCAGATTGTATTTATTTTTCTTACTCTGTGAACGAAATCACACTTTTCTAACTTCACACAGATTACCATGAAACCAATTTTCCCATGCAACTCCTAAAATCTTACAACTCATACATCTTTTTTCCTATACCATCCGCATCTTGCTCCAAGGTTTCATGGCAATGTCTTGTACGCGAGTCAGCCACTATTTCCTATCACCAAACTACATTGCTCATCATCTAACATTATCTACAGAAACCAAATCGGATTTCCTGCTCAACGTTTCCGCTCGTTGACATTGTCTTGGTTTTCACTATATTTTTTAAAGCATTTTTTAGTTATAACTATAACATGTTCCTAGGTTTTCACTGTATTTTTCTAACATGTTACATGCCTCCTAGCATGTTCACGCGTGTCCTCCATGTTGTACTGTTTTCTACATCGTTTCCTCTAGTTGTTACAAGCATTTCCTAGCTTGTACACCGTTTTCCTAATATTGTCACAACTTTTCTTCCAGTTTCCACTGCTTTTTCTACCGTTTCCTGTGGTTACTTTCTTCTCTTTTGTAGGTTTTCACTGTGTTTTGTCAAGCTTTTTTTATTACATGCTTCCTACCATTTTCACCGCTTTCCTCTATGGCTTTTTGTACCATTTCCTCTCGTTTCCTGCATTTCATGCATTTTCAATATATTTGTCCAAGAGTTTTACCCGTCTCCTTCAGTTTCCAATCGTTTTTGCACCATTTCCTCTGGTTGTTATCGCATTTTCCTACACTTTCACTGTATTTTTCCAGCATGTTTACTGCATCGTCGTAGTTTGTTCCTAGCAGTCGCTCCGGTTTCCTCCATGTTCCAACAGATTTTGCACCCTTTATTCTGGTTGTTATCACATTTTCCTGCCAGGTTGTTATCACATTTTCCTTCACTGTATCTTTCCAGCATTTTCCAGTGGATTTTGCACGATTTCCCTCTGATTGTTATCATGTTTTCCTGCAGTTTCTATATCCTCTTCGTGGGTTTTCAGTTTATTCACTCATGCATTTTTAATCTATTTTTCCAAAATTTTTACCCGTCTCAGAGTCTCCTTTTTGCACCATTTCCTCTGGTTTGCTGCATTTTCAATGTATTTTTCCAAGAGTTTTACCCGTCTCCTTCATTTTCCGATCGTTTTTGCACCATTTCCTCTGGTTGTTATCGCATTTTCCTGCACTTTCACTGTCTTTTTCCAACATGTTTACTGCATCGTCATAGTTTGTTCCTAGCAGTCACTCCGGTTTCCTCCATGTTCCAACAGATTTTGCATGGTTTGTTCCTAGCATTTTCCTCTGATCGTTATCATGTTTTCCTCAAGTTTCATTGTATTTTCCAATACATCCTCTTCGTGGGTTTTCAATATGTTTTGTCCAGCATTTTTTTACTACATGTTTCCTATCATTTTCACCTCTTTCCTCCATAGGTTTTTGCACCATTTCCTCTGGTTTCCTGCATTTTCATACCTTTTCAATATTAATATTAATCCAAGAGTTTTACCTGACTCCTTCATTTTCCGATCCTTTTTGCACCCTTTCCTCTCGTTGTTATCACATTTTCCTGCACTTTCACTGTATTTTTTCCAGCATGTTTACTGCATCGTCATGGTTTGCGCCTAGCATTCGCTCCGGTTTCCTCCATTTTCCAAGGGATTTTCCATGGTTTGTTCCTAGCATTCGCTCCGTTTTCGTCCGTTTTCCAAGGGATTTTGTACGATTTCCTCTGATCGTTATCATGTTTTCCTGCAGTTTCATTGTATTTTCCAATACATCCTCATGGTCTCTCCGGCCACCAAAAAGGCGGACCTAGGGGGAATCGATACCCCACCGTCAGCAAATTGCCTAGTGGTACATAATCCAGCAAAATGCTCCGTTTTCTCGCGCTCAACACAGGGGCACGGCGAGATTTCGTTCCCTTTCGGCAACCACCCCCCCCCACACCCCCTATTCTCACTTCGTTCGCAAACAGCAACTAGCCAGCTAGCTGGCTTTCGTAATAAATAGATAGACAGGTAGACAGATAGACAGATGAAAGAGAGAGAGAGAGAGATAGATAGATAGATCGATCGATAGATAGATAGATAGATAGAGTAATCAAATGAAAGAGAGAGAGGGAGAGATAGATAGCTAGATAGAGAGATAGATAGATAGATAGATACATAGCTAGATAGATAGGTAGGTAGGTAGACAGTCAGAGAAAGAGTGAGAGAGATCAATCGTCTTTCGATCCATCAGTGGCTTCGCTCTGCCATCCCTGATTCACAACAACCAATCTCTCCTATAGGTTTCCTATTTTTGAAACTTCCGCAACCGCCTTGTGCGGTACTACTGGTATTATATACAGAGTATATATTCACATACATAGGGAGAGAGAGATTGAGAGAGAGAAATTTGATGCAGATTGGCTCAATACAACAGGTGTTGTTCTTCCCTCCATTCAAGTTTTAAGCACGTGGAAGACCGTGAGAATGAACCTGAAAATCCAGCAAGTGTACATCCTCCGTTGAGTAGTAAATTAGCACACATCTGTCTGATGCATGAGTCCCCGTTCATTTTCAACTTAAACTTGAGCCATGTCTCTTTCATGTTGCACTTTCTTCAGTTATAACAGATCAACCACAATATCAATGTCAAGATTGACATCCGGCTAGCCCTTTGAGAATCAAAGCCACCCCTTTGCCTTTGCATCGAGTCAACCCTACCTCTCCCAAAACAGTATGCGTGGCCCATCCACGACCCATCCATAGCCTCATCTGCGTTCGTGGACTCCGGCAATGCAGTGCTGACCACTTGATCAATGACGTTGCGACGGTACTGCCCAGGAGCGAAATCACATTAATCTCATCACGAGTAGCAATTCCTGTTCGAGATCTCAGACTTCAAAGAAAACGCTGCACAAAGCAAATGCTTGCCTGTGAGACACTCCAATAAGTTGACACGCACGAAACTCGGAAACTCGAACATTCACGAAAATGGACCTGTTCCCTGACGAATGTTTTATGGATTCTATGCCTGGTATGGAGATCTTTCGCCACACAGAACTGTCCCATCCCACGGGGGCTCCTGGTTGTCAGGCGTCAGGACTAAGGCCCAGAGGTCTGGGCTCTGGCGCTCCACCAAATACCTGGTGGAGTTTTCTCTTTGGAGTTTTGGCAGGTTTGAATTGTGAGATGTACCATGAGGGATGAGTGATAGAGATTCTCGGATATTGCATATCATTTAATGATAGAGAATAGGCTGTTCAGGATAATCTCACAAATACAATTATTGGATAATGTTGGAATATGTTGGAATATAATAAAAAATAAGAAAAATACTCTAAACTCTAAAGCTATCAAAAGGCTGCGCCATCCTTGCTGGAGCTGTTCAACGAACAAAACCGGAACAATGAAGGCATTGGAAAGGAAAAGGATGAACAAAATGTCATCTTGGCCATAAGTTGATGCATCTTTCCAGACTCCTTACTTTCAAAGATTTCTTCTAGCTCTGACCGAGTGAAGATAGAGCATGTGGCTAAAGGTATCCGTGGTGTAAGTTGGCTAAAATCGATGTTTTAACAACATTTGCAATTAATTATCAAGAAAGTATATGGGTATGTATATGGATGTGTCTATGCACATCTATATGTACGTCTATATGTACGTCTATTTGTACAGCGTATGATATGTGCGCCTCTCTTCCGATCAATCTTTCAATCCCAAGAGCTGCGAATAATCACACGAAGCTCTCATACAATTGATACAAATGCTGCCATGAACCCGCGGCCTTGCTTGCAGTCGGAAGAGGCCGTTGCGGTTGGTCACGTCCACCAATTGCTGAGCAGTGGTAACACGTCACATGCCATGGGGTCAGAGGACCCAGGACGACTGAGAACAAGAAGTGAGCCTACTTGTGTCTACCCTGAGTTAAAGAGATTTTGACAAATCTTGTTGAGCATTATTTGAAAACAGATTAGGGCTGACTCTGTTGACTTGCAAGGCACCTCATCGCAGGAACCCCAGGCACGCTTGTAGGCCTCAACTGTCGTTGCTGATGTTGCTGTAATATGTCGTAACACGCCGTAACATCCGCTGCCGGCCGTGCTTGGTGCTTGGCTGTGTATGCCAGGTGAGGATCACGATCCTCGCAGTACCTTCACTGTCCGAATGTCTGCGGAATGTCTGGCAAAATGTGTTTCAAAGTCGGGTCCTGCGAGGAATGCTAAATGCTGTCATCTCACAACCACGCGGTCATAAGGACCTTTTGCTCCCGGGCACTTGCCCACGATTTTGGAGTCGTAGAAAGCGTTGGTCTTCAAGAAGTTCTCTGGTTCGCGGTTGGTGTCGATCAGAATCCTAAGCGTGATACTCATGGGATCTAACAAACGCATATTGTTTCAACTGATTGCTTGTCAGCACTCAATGTCATTGTGCATATCTTGCCACGCTTAAAGTACTAAGCGGTGTACTTTGCCATGGCATTGTGCAAATGAGGATCCTGCGAAAAGGGTTGAGCTTCAGAGCAGCTACAACGCAAGGGACTTGTTTTTCAATTGAAGCACCCTGCTATCATTATCAAAGCCCGATTTGTAGCATCTGTATGTATAAATATGTAGTGTATCAGTGTATGCATGAATGAAATTATGGATTGATGTATCTATGTATCTATGGTATGTATCGATGTCTCATTGTATGTACGCACGTTTGTGTGTGTGTATGCGTATGTGCGTGTATGCATGCATGTATGCATGGATGCATGGATCCATGGATGCATGTCTACAGAGATATACACACAGACACTTTTTTACCTGATTCTGCCTGCTCAAGAAAACACAAAGACTCAAGCACCGCGGCGGCTCCTGATTTCCTTCGGCAACACGAGCTTCAAGCCATGGCAAGATCAAACGAAGGCGATTCCTGTAGCAGGGTGTAGTCTGCCAATAGAGGGAGAGGTCACAAAAGAGAAAGACATTTTCAAGATACGGATCTCTTACGAATCTTGCCACATCGAGGAAACCCTTCGAACTGTTGCCTAGTGTGTTTTTCTTTGCACTGTGCTAGTGGATTTGCTCCCAGCACATTGATCAAAGTGTCCTTGCCCGGCTCAATGAGCTGAAGAGCCATGGACCATGTGTTGGTTTTAAGGTCAAACTATCCAATTGTAAAGAAGGCCCTAAGGCCCTATGCCCTTTCCCTGTACGTCTTACTTTGCTGAGGGAAAGCATGGCACCTCTTCTCGATCTGCTCCACCAAAGGCTCAGCTGGACATGCTGCTCGGACCTTGCCAGAAAGGCTCAATGTGCTTGGCATGGGGGTGCGGTTAGGGTCGTTGCGGGGTGTAACCATGGCAATAATAACCATCCATAAGTTGGGATACAACCCCTATAGCTATGATTATATATACGTACTGTGCCCAGTACCATACCACACCATCAATTGGGATTCCCCCGTAGTGGGTATAGTGACATAACGTATAGTTACCTGTATTGTTGGAGGTTGACCATCCCCATTCTCTCTCCAACCATTTTCCAAGAAACCTTCAGATCACAGCAGCGCACACTTTTGATTCTCTGCAACAGCACCCTACTTGCCCCCTGGGCGACATTCTGGATTCTGGTTTATTAGTCGTTGTTGGCAAATGAAACAATTCGATCAAAGTCTTGAAGGATGGTGAACCCACATCTTGCCAAGCAAGAAAGTCACTTGACTCAGTCGAACCAAAACGCAACCTCTTCACATCTCAATTCCAAATAATTAGTTATTCTTAGCTCCAAGGAGTAGGGTGCAAATTCCCCGACTGCTTTGTGCAATGTCAGTATGCTCTTGTCATTATTGCCCATGTGCTTTCTGTTCACTCCAGATCTTCCAGTTCCAATTGCTCCACTGGTGAAGGAACAGCTCTATTCGGCGTTGCCACCCGTGCATTGGGAAACACATATATAAGTGCCTTCTGAAATGCATGGTGTTAAAGAAGAACAGTTTCATCCATTCCAAACCTGGAGTCAGTTGCGAAGCAACCGTCATGTGCACAACCAGCGTTCGTTCCCACGCGGGAAAAAAGCACATGGGAAAAAAGCACATGGAGCCACGAATGAGCCAAAAATATGCAGAAAAATTGAGTCAAAGATCAAATTCTGCTGCGGCCGCTCTGTCTTGGGTTTCCAAACATTCTGCAGCAGAGTCTTAATGAAATCCTCTGAGCAGTCCAGGTCGATGAGGCTTCCAATCACCTGCCAAGTCAAAGCAATGAATGTGCAACAAGGTCTTGTTTTCGCAACAGAACAAACATCTCGAACTCCTTGGTTAAATGTGTTCATTCCCCTTCTTCTTCTTCTTCTTCTTCTTCTTCGTCTTCGTCTTCGTCTTCTTCTTATTCTTCTTCTTCTTCTTCTTCGTCTTCTTCGTCTTCTTCTTCTTCTTGTAAATGCATCGGCTTTTGATCGCGGAAGAAGCATTAGAGCATCTTGATCGCGGCAATTAGTACATGAAACAGATTGCAGCATTTCTTGTTGCTGTCCTTTGGAGCTTGTGCCGGAGCTAGCTCCACTAGCTTCAAGCCTGTGGGCACTTCAGTGGGTTGACCTTCACGACGTAAACCTGACGAGGAGCTGGGCTTGCCATGTCCACTCTTACACTGCGAAGGACAGACAGGAAAAGTACGATAGAGAAATCACAGCTACCACAGGATCAATTGATGGAGTAAAATCAACTCGAGAGCCACTGCGAGCCTCAATGTACTTCATCAAGGAGTTCTTGTAGAGATAGTCTGTCAGCTCCTTATCAACTGATCAAGGTGATATTAGTGAAAGTCTATCAGTCCAACTAAAAGTCCAGGGGTTGTACCAGTTCTTATGATTCCTCGTGGTTTTGACATTGAATTTGCACAGGTCACAAGTCGGAAACTTCATGATTTCATGATTCTGCACGTATTGCATGCCACACCATCACGCATGTTTTGAACTGTGGCTTCTGTCTTCTTCCACAAGAAAATAACTTCGGTGGACTCCTCCACAAAATCGTGCAGATCGCACACATAGATCAATGGCCGCGGGTCCGGCCTAAAAATATCCCCAAGCAACGTGAAAAGAATGTCATGTCAAAAGTGGTTCAGAAGGTACATTGGTCGGTAGAGGTTCCCAAAAGGAACAGCTTGAACAACACAACAGCTTTTCAAGAACTTCGCACCTCAACAGCAGAGCACTAAGATTGCAGCAACTTCGCCTCTTTGAGGAAGTTCTTCACGGCAGTCTAGGTATTGCATGGTATTGCCACGCCACGTGTCGTGGAGATTCGTGATGGATCGTGGAGACACGCTACGCCACAGTTCCACGTGTGCTCGGAAGCTTCAGCTCCGGGCCGGGTCATACACTTGCGACTCCCGGCACACACGCTCCACCTGCGTCCAGACTCTCAGACTGCGAGGGAAGCTGAAGGTATTCCAGTGGGGTAATGGATGGTATGGCAACAAGTTTCCCACACCTCCTGCATGTTGCCAACTCGGCTTGCTGCCTGGCAAAAACTCGAGTTCGACCGGGTCATGTCATCTTTCCTTGATCCATTTGATCAGATTTGCGCGATATGAATGTAGACCTGGCTTTCAGGTGCCAGTCTAGTTTGGTAGAAAATGGTGATTGAGCAGATTGCACATGGTCCAATACATTTGGCAACTCAACAACAGCGATGTTTGATAGTTCTGAGTGTTTAAACGTAGCCATTTTTTGGATAACGAAGAGATTGCACATACGTTGACGGATGGTTTAGAGGTTGGTTGCAACAGATCTCCAAAGCCTGGATATATTTGAAATGCACGTCAGGATCGGTGCCTCAATCGCTGAAGTCAGTCATAGGTCGATAGACGAGTGGCAAGTGCGACTTGCCGACTCGCGTCGATTGGACCGTGGATTCGACTCATAGATTATTGTCAACCAGTGGTCATGGTTCCAGAAAAAATATGTATATATAATTTATATATATATACATATATATCAGACTTTCAGTGCCGGGCTGGTGTTCAAAATCGCACCGAGGAAGTAGAATATTCCTGGTCATGCAGCAAACCATGTCCTTCATTCTGTGGGTTTCACACAAAGGCATGTCAACACGCAAAGTCGCACAAGGTACATTCGGAGAATACTGTGTATGTTATACTTCTACCCACGTTTGTCTACATTCCAGACCTCGGATATCTGCAATCACATACCTTCAGACAGAAACATGCCAAACAAGTTTGCATCACGCAGCTTTTCTTGACTTTATTTCCCACCTTCATTGGAGCCAAAGCTTTCAAACATGTCCACGATCTTCACCGCCCCAATCTGCTCGTGATACTGGATAGCAACCTGCCAAACATCACAATCTGCCATCGATGGCTCGTCTTCACTTGGGTTACTGCGTGAAAATCTGCCAATTCTCTATTGTGTCATCGCAATCAAGATGGGCATCAAAGTGGTGATTTGCACACTTTCTACTTTATACCACAAACCAACCAGGTGCTAATCAAATAGTCTTGGAAAAACTCTCAGAAAATTGTGATGTTCAATCTCTCGCCTTCACTGCAACCTGCAAGTTTTGTCGGTTGTGGCGCATGAGATCGGTGAGGCATTCGAGCGCCTCAGAGGATCACTTGCTGAAACCAGGTGAGGCGTGCAGCCTGGGCAGTGCTAAGCCGCTCTAAGCCCTCAGCCGTCTCAGGTGACAAGCGGGAGAAGTACTGGATCCTGCAACGAGATCACAACCATTGGCCAAACAGAACGGTTTTTCTTAAGCACATCCCTGCAGAAAAAATGCACAAAACGGATCTTCATTGACTTGAACATGATATGCATCCAAGGCACAAGAACTCTGGCGTCATCTGATGTGCGTGCATCCTCAGGCTGGCAAAATGCACACCGCAAAGGAGTCTGCACTGAATTACCTGAAGCAAGTGTATTAGACGGGAAAGCAATGGCTATAAGGCAATGACATCACTCGCTTCAAGTCAGTCCCGTCAGTGTAGTGCTCCATGGCCTAAGCAACTTGGCTCACGAACCAGCTGTAAGGCCGAGTTCGACTACTTGTCGTCAACCATTTTGCAAGGATGTTTGCAATGGAATAAAATACGCACGGCAAACTTTTGATGAACATGTTGAATTATTCTCTGTTCTTTTATTTATCAGTAGTAGAGTTTGGAACAATATTCATCCTGTTGGTGCCAATGTCAACCTGAGATCCTCACCCACTGCATGAGGCCAGCTTTCTCACACAGCTGGCCAATGTATGCCCGGTCATAGTGGGTGAACATGTTCCTGTCGAAGCTAAAGAATCATGGCAACAAGAAGACGATCTTTCCAAGCGCAAAAGGGCAAAGCACCAAGAGGGAGGGAAAATCTGTTCGAGCTATAAACTGACACACCAAGCTGATAAAGTCCTCACAAAAGACACCTTGTGAAGCTTCAAATTGAGTGATCATGCTTTTGTACAGTGCTTTCTCCAGCACTTCTGCAGAATGATACGCCCCAGGATTGCCTCCCTTTCCAGGTCTGGGTCCCCCGAACATTTGAAGGATTGCCTCGGCAACCTTTGGTGCTTGCTGCAAGTTCATAGCCAGTAGTTGCGTCTGGCAGAGCGGCTGCGCGGCGATTGGATTTACACAGGAAGCTGGAAATAATGCGCGGATGACACGCATTTCCAAAGAATGTAGGCGTGTTCTAGGTATCCAAATTGTTGAAACATCAACAAGGTGCGTTGAACTGACATGGCGAACATTACAGTCGAATCATGTCTGACCTGTCTTTGGTCGGTACGGAACCAAAAATTGCCTCCTGGCTTGGCATTTGAAGGTAAGCAATCTAAGTATTCTGGATCAAACACTTGAAAGACACGAAGACGGAACAAAAACGTGGAGAACAAAAAAAGAGCGAAGGTGCTTCACATAGACAGGTAGCATCTGTACATGATGTGACCCCAAATGATCACGTGTGTTTTTCTCGCCTGCAAGTGGGCTTGGTCCGGCTTGTTCGCCTACACAGGTGTCAGCGGGCATGTGACTTTAAGCCAATCTTTAAATGAAA